TTTCCTTTTATATTATTTGCTGGCCCTGAAAAGGGCCTTTATTATATAGCAAGAGAAACTGGAATGTCTATTCATCAAAGCAGCCTTTACAAAGACACATCTTGCAGATTTCGCATTCCCATGTGCTTTGAATAGAATTGTTTGCTGATGTTTTATTTCTTTGCTTTCGACATTTAACGCACGTTCTTTTACGCCCTTCAATTTTTCTTTGTTTATGAAAATGACTAGTAGTGGGTTCAAATGACACTGAAGTGCGCTTTCTATATGAATACACATTTGCTAATTCTTGTACGAGTTCCAGCTTGAAATCATACAAAGTTTTTGACCGTTTTTGTTCAGGATAATTTGTCGTATGCTGAATTATATAGGCATTATTGATGGTAATATCCAGAAGGAACCAAAATATATACAACCACCATTTGGATGATTTTTCTGGCAACTGTATAATATTTACGTCTCCTATCTGCCAAATCTACTCCTCCCATGTGCGTATTATATACTGCGAATGAACGTGGGCAAAGAACTTCAATTTTGTCTGCTCCTTTTCTTCTGTTCACATGACACAGTTTATTTTTTGTATTAGTTGATAGCATAAAAATTTGCTTTTTATCTATTCAAGATGTGCAACAAATTCGGAAATTTTTCATTTTGAAAAGTCTGCCTTTGATTTGGGATTTTCAATTTTAATGTTTTAATTTCAGGTGGCAAGTGCTTTCTGTTCGGCATAACAGTTCCGCAAGAATAAAATTTGTATTTCAATAAATCAACAATCAGCTGAACGCTGGTAAAAAATCGATCAAAATAGAGTTCATGTCCCTTGCTTGTTAAGGGTTTTATCAAATGTGTAACAACATCGTATCCCAACCCTTTGCCTGACCTCACAATTTTATCTTGTTTTCCAGCATACAATTCAAAATTTACAGTGTAACCCAAATGAGATGTGCATGACATCCAAATTTTAAGCCCGCGCTTATCTGGTTTTAAAGGCATATACTGCACAATTCCTAAACGCCCTTTGAATTTTACCATAGCTTCATCAACCGAAAGATGTTTATACAGCTTAAAACAATCTGAAAACTGCCCTTTTATCTTAGAAATGAAAAGCTCTAATTTTTGCAAAAACTGAAAGTTTTCATCATTTCCCTTTACCTCTTTCTCTCTATCAGAGATATGAAAATAATGTTTAATTTTTAAAAATCTATCTTTGCACATTAATTTCTTTATCACTTCGTTGCCGAGTATAGGATTCTGAGACCAATAATCATTTATTCTAGGCAAACGCATAATGCTCATTATGAAAAAAACAGTTATAAAAGCCCAAATCTCATTTACGGAGAGTATAGGCTGCCAGCTTTTATCTTCAATACCACATTTTTTTGCACAAAACTCTGCGTATTTATTTGTATTCTGTCTAATTACTTCGCAGTATTCATCAGGCAGAAGTAATTTTAAATAATCTAAAGCAGATGATCCAGTTGGCAAATCATGAGACGGTCCAGGTGACAAAGAGAAATGTTCAAATTTTATGTCCTCGTTATTTATGTCATTTCTCCAGTCAGATTCGAAGGTATCATATGAAGAGCCCAAATTTTCGTCGTGTTCTAAATTATAATTGCATTCGATTTCATCTTCTCCATTATCTATCAACATATGTTTTTAATGTCCATCATCTTCATTATCTATCAACATATGTTCTGAATGTCCATCATCTTCATCAGATTCAGCGTTATCAGATTCGTATGTTTCTTCAAATAATATTGCATTTATTTCTTCTTGCGTTAATATCTTACGTCTTCTGATCATTTTGAGATGAAACTACAAAATAAGAGCAAGACGTTTCACAGCGTTGAGAAAGGAGTAAAACGAGCGATCTAGACTCGAGTCACCTACCCTGGGAGCGTTGAGGCTAAACAAAGAGGAGCCCACCTGGATTTAAATAAAAGAGCTACTTCAGTCACTTCAAAAGAAATGATTGACATGTCATTTAACAGTTCGCGAAACCAATGAAGCATATACTCCAGGATGGGGGAAAGCATCAAGTAGAAGACGAACGAAGCGGTCAGTCGACCTGCCGATGCCTGAATGGCCGAGCGTCTTAGGCATTTTCGATGTGAAAGAGTTAATGGCCTTAGTAGTTTGAAGTGTAACTACTTACAGTACTCTGAGATACCATGAAGAGCTGTACAAATATTTTTGTAGAAAATTCCAGATCTGTGAAGTGCTTCTTTTAGTAAAATAAACTTTATCAAATCAGTGGTTCTGTGTCATTCAGTCTATTATACGACTGTATGAATACAACAATATGTTTGCAATGAAGTTTGTTCATATAAAATATTTTCAACTCATATTTTTAAAATTCAGCATATATCTCAACATATCTTAAATAGAATTTCAACAATATTTGTACTTTTAAAACAAGAGTATACTAAAGACATAAAATATTAGTGCATGAGTGTATTATTGATTGGCTGTAAGTATAAGAAAATTTGGTACTTTTCTGTTTTGCTGGCGCAAATCTCGGTAAGCAGACTTTGTAGGTGACAGCATACAGTATACACATAAAAAATTTTAGTTCTAAGGATTTTTTTATTTTGAAAGCATAAAAATTTTGTAAAAAGCCAGTAAATAAAGATAATAAATTTATAAAAAGACATTAATTTAAAATTTACTATGCTTTCATGGTTCAACATCCTGATTCGCTGGTTTGTATCACATGACCCCAAGTGATCTCATTTTACGTAAACTACGCTACAAAAAACTAATTTCCTCAGTAATTATTTACATTAATTTGGAATACAAGTTTAAATGCAAGAATCATTTCAATTCGTACAAATAGCTTACTCAGAAATTATGTAAAACCGCACTCCTTTACTTATGCTAGTGCATTCTCATTAGAATTGATGAACTTAAACCTTGATTTTGCATTTTCTATATTTTTGCCTTCAGGTGAGCGGTGTGATTGCATCCTAATTGACTTAATTACCACGAGTGGTCTTAGGGCATAAATTGAACTATCTAGGTAAAAATTCTACGTAATTGTATGCCAGTTTTGAAAGAAACAATCAATCTGATAAGAAATGGCTGCGACTAGTTTTGAAAATGAAGCTTAAAATGTTATCAGCGAAGGTATCAGTTGTACCATTATTGGCGACTTTATTGTTTGCGCCATCAAAATTAAAAAGTACCGAAAATTTTAATAAAAGAAATTTATTATTAATTAACTTTATAAAAAGTGATTAGCAAACTTTTAAAACAGTTTCTATGTCAGGTACTTATGTTTAAACCGGCTAACAGTGAAAGTTGGCGGATTCCACCACAGTTGTGCCAACTGTTCCCGCAAAATTCTAAAGGAACTGATGCCTATTTAACAGAAAATCCATATTCGATCCTGCTTTGTTTCTGCACTTTGTAAAAAAGCTTTTGTTAATTTCTACAATTCTGCTAAGCTTAAGCACAAACTTCCCATTGGTTTTTTTTCCAATCTGTTATGTTTTGTTGACCATATCATGTCCATTAAATGCACACTTTTGTTGATGTAATGTTCCAGAATTTTGAAAATAATCCACTGCTGACTGTTCTGTAGAAGGCACATCTCAAATTTTAAACATTTGTTTTTCAAAATGCAAGGAAAAATTAAAGCAATAATAGTTCATTTATATGCTTATTTATAAAAACAAAACATTTTTTTTTATCAAGAATCAATGAGGTTCACACCAAAGAAAAGTGCAGATGCTATGTAAGTGTTGTGACATCACACTTATCCATAACTGGCACTAAGTCACGCTGCTTGGTTAAAGTTTCATGGTTGATGGGATAATAAGCAAGTACTCCATGTTGCATAATACAGTCGTTAATTCGGACCTCAAAGCTAAAATCTTTCTGTGTATGCGCCGCGTTGACGCATGAGCATAGGCGTTTACGCGTGCTCGCCTTTACGACTGTGCATATGGGTGTGCGCAAGTGCAGAATACATTTTTGCGTGCGCATTTAATGTATAACGGACGGTATAAGCTAAAATTATCTAATTATCTATTTCAGTTAATGTTGATGATTGCATTGTTCCTTAATCTTCGAATTGGATCCGCCTTATTATTTTTTGCAGACTGTAAGAGCAATTTAATAAAAGTAAGCTTGAACTTTCGATTATGTCAAATAGAATTTCCGATGCTGGAGTTCCCAAAGGATCTACAAAACGAAAGTACGTTTCGATGTCCATCAAACAAAAAGTGGAATTGCTGCAAAAAATGGATAAAGGCATATCCTTTGTTTATCTAACCGTTCCGAAATCTGTTTATCAATTTCACGCTGCTCTGCGGCGGGGTAACGCCGCGGCGCGCAATGAATTGGAAGTTGATCTGTCAGCACTATCTTTATCTTCAGGGCAGATGTTTTTATTTTATTTGGCTTATAATTTCTTACTAAATGTAGTATTTCATCTCGATGTACTCCGTCTTTGACATGATTTAAATCAAATTCCTCGTCATTATAAATATCACGAATACAAATCAAATAGTTTTCTGGTTGCAATTTTCTAATTTCGGCTATGCGTAATGTATGCTTTACGCATGCGCGCGTTGAAAGAAAAGAAATGTTTAATAAAGTAAACAAATATATATTAAGCTTTTTTTTTTTTTTTTTGTAAATTTTGATACCCTTTAGATCATAATTGTTTCTTATTTTAAATTACAGTTTCATATTTTTAATTTTATAATTTCTACATGGCATTTTACCAGATTTAAACTGATGATCTATAATTCGGAATCGCTGAAGTCCCAACGAGTCCAGATTAAAGTCTTTTGACTGTACTATTATCACAATACTGCTACAAATATTTCCACTTAATTCAATTAATGTATAAAAGTCAATCTATTATTTGCAATACAAATTCAATTATGAAGATAAGAAAAACATGCTAATAATACAAACTGTTATGTAATACAAATTTATTTTAAACAAAATAATTAATTTTACATTAAAAATTTCACAAATAATAAATATACCTGGTTTTTCAGTACCAGTCTGAACAAAGAACAGTTCAGCATCAGTTTTCTCAGATACTGCTCCTCTGAAATAAATAAAACAAGTTTAAAAGATTTTCTCTCCCTTTCCTGTCATTTTATCACGTCTGAATATAAAAGCTAATACTTTTATTTTTATGAAGTTATTATTATTATTGAACTAATAAACTAATGAAATTTGGAGTACACCATATCACAAAACATTATATCGTAAAATCATGTTTGGGATCCATCAATAAAAGTGATGAATATTTTTTGGTCATAGTCAAGTATTTATAACAATTGTGACATTTTATGTTTTATTCTGAAGTTTCTTTCTTCTTCTCTCCTTTTCCCCATAAAATACAAGGTGTGGAGAAAAAAAGGCAAAAGAAACATATTCATGTTGTTAAGTATTACTTCTGTTTACATGAAAACAGATGCAAAATGCTAGGTGCTTACATATTAACGCAATCACTTTAGTACCATAAACTTTTCCCCAGGATAAATAATAACAGTACCAACTGTACTCATAAGTTTTATTGATCGATTTTTTACAACTGTAGAAAAATAATAGGAAAAATAATTCTTTCCCCTATAAAAAAAATCACAAAATTACAGCAAGGTGGTTGTTTTGATATGCAAGTAGCAAATGCTATAAACTCTAAAAAATCATACAACAGATTGGTTCCTTAATCTTCTGACTAGTATATTTTTTCTATCCATTTATGAGAACGATTATCAGTCACTACAAATGTTGTCATTTAAAATATTTTGTCTTGTTTTTTTTTTTTTAATATCTAATTATACTCCTGATGAAACAAAGATGGTAAAAAGCAAAGGGTAAAATCAGTACAGTCAAAAGTCGTTAATCCGGACTCGTCGGGACTTCCGCGATTCCGGATTATAGATCATCAGTTTAAATCTGGTAAAATGGCATGAAGAAATTATAAAATTAAAAATATGAAACCGTAATCTACGAAATAAAGAACAATTATGATCTAAAGTGTATCAAAATTTACAAAAAAAAAAAAAAAAGCTTAATATTTATTTGTTTACTTTATTAAAAATTTCTTTCAATGTAAGTTGTTTAAGTTGCTTCGTTTTTTATGTGATAATACATTCTCTTTAATTCTATAAACATACATAATTTCTTATTCAGTTACAAAGTTCCGCTGTTCAAGTCCTATAATTGCTGTGTCGAGAATACCGACTAATTTGTCAATCGAAATTTTTTCGTTTTCAATAACCTCTGTTACTTTCTTCGCTATCGGAAGCGAATTATAATGACGAGGCATTTGATTTAAATCATATCAAAGACGGAGTATATCGAAACTACATTTAGTAAGCAATTATAAGCCAAATAAAATAAAAACATCTGCCCTGAAGATAAGGATAGTGCTGACAGATCGCAGCGATAAAGATAAACAAAGTTTAGATAAACAAACGTTAAAGTTTAGATGAACAAAGGATATGCCTTTATCCATTTTTTGCAGCAATTCCACTTTTTGTTTAATGAACTCCGAAACATACTTTCGCTTTGTAGATCCGTTACATATTAGTAAATATGAATCGGAAATTCTATTTGACATAATCAAAAGTTCAAGCTTACTTTTATAAAATTGCTCTAACAGTCTGCAAAAAATAATAAGCCGGATCCAATTCGAAGATTAAGGAACAACGCAATCTGCAACATTAACTGAAATAGATAATGATGCGTCAAAGCGACGCATGCGCAGAAAGTTTGTAGCTTTGAAGTCCGGATTATAGATCATTCCGGGTTCTGGGTGTCCGAATTAACGACTTTTGACTCTAATTGTACAAACAAAGCTCTTCATGAATAAGACAATCATATTTTGTCAACACAGCAGGAATTACCAACACATTTTTAACAGAAAATAAAGGCAAAATTTCTCTTTATATCACAAATTTTTTAAAAAATTCTATATCAAACAATGAAAGTCAGAATATTCATTTAGTACAGCTCCTGCTCACATAAAAATACACAATGATAAAAAAAATTATTGCTGAATTAATGTAGATAGGCAACTAAAAAAAGTGTTAAATATAACAATTCTCCAAAATATTATTCCATAAATTCCCAAATGACTCATTTGAAAATAAAAATGTGAAATAATAATAAAAAAAAAACATGTATTCTTAACACAATACATTTTAACATGATAGGTAATGAAATACAACTAGCCAAAAATAAAAAAAATAAAAATAAAAACTGAATTTCTGCAATTCTGAAAATCATTTTGGCAAAACTGTAGACACCTATGAAATACAAATAATATACATTTCCAGTGACAATCAGTGAGTTAATATTGAACTGAACACAGCAGAAATAAGGTCAACTAGCTACATTTATTTAAGTGAATCAAATTACAGGATTGACAATCACAGATAACTGCAGTTTTTGTATAAAATTAAATTCAAATGTAACATTTGTTTACTTTTATGCAATCATATATGAATAAATGAAGGATTAAGAGAAAGCATAAGCAATTACAGTGGATGCCATTTAATGTGATCATGGTTAATGTTTTGTTAATAATAGGATACTGAAGTACAGGGTGGTTATAATTAAAATTCCCCTATAAACGGCATCCTACAGCTCAAACAGGGAAACAGAATTTTGTATATGGGCTATACACGAGATGCGCTCACGGAATTTTTAAAAAATTTTTTTATTCCAAAATGTCCCCCAAAGGGCGCTTTTTCGGTAAATACATGAAATTTAATAGAATAAATGACCAAAACGGAATACAGAAACAATATTAACATTTGATGACTAGTTTCTGATCACCTTGTCATTGAACCACATTAAGTAAAGGTAAGGCAGAAACAAAAACAGTTCAGTCTGCCGAAACAAGAACAGATTAGGACGAAATTGCACAAGAGAAGCAATTGTTAATTGTGTTCAGGACAATGTAGGGAAAGATGCTTCACATGACCACCCTCATTCACCTGCAAAATTTCAAGTCGATGGACAGTGTGTTCAACAGCAGATCGTAACTGATCAGTTGTGAGGCTTCGCACATGAAGCGTTTTGAAGTTCCCATTGAACACCTCCACGATACACGAGACTTTTTAAACAGCCCCATATCCAGAAATCGCACAGAGTCAGATCTGGTCAACATAGTGGCCATGGATTAGGTTGGTTTGGTTTATTAGATTACGGCAAAGCACTCGAGGGCTATCTGCCTTAAGGGAGGGATGCCTTCGTGGAGGACTTTTTAAGGGAAACTGGCTCGTATACACTCCCATGGATTAGGAAAGAAGTGACTAGTAACACGTTCCTCTGAGAAGTGCTGGAGCAATAATGCCTTCACAGACTCAGATGTGGGGGAGCATCATCTTGCATGAAATTGGTGGATGTAAGGACCCACTTTTACTGTAGTTGTGGCACAACAAACGTCTGCAGCATCCGTAACGGAACATGTGACAAGCCAATGTTCACCAATTTCCTCAAAGAAGAATGGCCTAAGGATGAATGTCGCCGTGAATCTACACCAGAGAGTGACCTATGGAGACTGTAGGGAAATTTCAGTGTGGATCTGCAGATTTTGCTTAGCTCAAATGCGGCAATTCTGTGTGTTGACTGTCCAACTGAGGTAGAAATGAGCCTTGTAGCTTCACAGAATATTCCAAGGCCATGACCGATCAACAGTCATTCTGTTGAGAAAACTGACAGCGAATGAGAGACGTTTGGACTTGTTTCTATCAAGCAGCTCCTGGGTATGACGGATCTTGTATGGGAAGTAGTGCATTATGTTTCTGAGTACTTTTTGGACAGTGCTGTACGAATAGCCTGTCTGTCGTCATAATAGAGATTCCATAACATTCAATTACTTAGGTTTCCATAAATGAAACAACAACTTGGTGATAAATGAAATAACAACTTCGCAATAATACAAGAGGTATCCTAAAGTCAACTCTAACCGCACATTTGTAATTATCTTTCTTGCAAAGATAAAGCTGAGCTCAGTGAATTTCTATGAATGCTGACATGAGACACCTTTCAAATATTCAGATTAGGGTACAGCTTCAGACAAATAATATCCAGATACATTATAAACAGTCCATAAATGAATTTTTCCATAACACTAGCAGACAATCCACTAGTAAGGACATTTTCCTTAATTAAAATGTTGTAAAAGTAAATATTTATATGTTTCTATTAATACTAAATTAGTTTATTGTCAATTTGAAGGATATTCTCATCATTTAATGTCATCAACTGATTAATGGTATTAAAGCAGCCATACACAAATGTGATCATATTAAATGGTAGTGAAGAATCGCCCACTGCTTAGCATGTTTTTAAGAATTGCACATACTCAGTACCCATGTACACGTCGACCTATTTAGAAAAAAAACCCCAGAATTGCACAAAAATGGCATTCCGCATTCCCTTGACTTTATCCATGTACACATCGACCTATTTTCACTTTAAAAGTCAAAAAAATTGACAAAAATCCAATTCTTCTTACTCTTGTAAAAAGTGCCAAACAAATAAGTGGGCAATTCTGCGCTTTAGCCAATAGTACCTTCTATAGGTCACTTAACTTCAACATACGATTGTCTGACTGAAAATTTTCTGAAAAGCTACGACTATACATTTGATGAAGCAAATAGTGCACCAGCAATAAAACAGCATTCAAAATGCACCACATATTGTTAAAATGGTACTCTTCTGGGTACAACTCTGATATATGTCATAATTTTGCCAAAGGTGGCGATATGTGTTCTGCGCTGGTTTTTGGCGTGATTGCGTGTTGTATGGCAACCCTGTTGACGTTGAAAAATCTTTTCCTGGAGCTCGTTGGTTCGCAAAAGGGGAGAAAATAAAATGGTAGAAGTTGTTAAACTGAAGTTCGGCAAAACAAAATATCATCGTGGCCGTCCTGTTGAGGGGCAGTGGGTATTTGGAGGTGTGAAAAGAGGGTCTGGGAGATTATTTTTAGTGGCTGTGCATGATAGAAGTAGGGATTTGTGATTATTTGTGAAACACAGTATGAATTTTCTAGATAGTGTGCCTGCCTATCCTATAAATACGATAGCGATTATGTGGCGGCATGTTAAAGGCGGTATGAAATTGGTATTTCTGCTGTTCGAAAAAGCATTAATTCATGGTAAGTGTATTTTATTTTATTCTTATTTTGTAGAATGTTATGTTCATTGTTTTTTTAGTATGAATTTCTGTCGGTATTGTTGTTTTCTGGAATTGTTTGAAATTTATTTTAGTTTATTAGTGTGTAGCGTCTAGATTGTGCAATTCGTAGATTTTTTTTTAAGTTGAAATAGAACGCTGTGTACATGGTATTCTTTGAATTTTATTGTTGTTATGTTAATTTATTAAAGCGAGGTGTGCATAGTTCGTAGATTCGTTTGTTTCCTAGATTGTGCAATACAAAGATGTTTTTAAGTTTAAACAGGATGCTGTGTACTTGGTATTCTTTGAAATTTATTAAAGTGAGGTGTGAATAGTTTGTAGATTCGTTTGTTGCCTAGATTGTGCCATTCGTATATATATATATATATATATATATATTATTTTTTTTAAAGTTAAAACATATTGCTGTGTACATGTATTCTTGTCAAATATTTTTGGTTAGGAACTTTACGTTTTTGCTACCTAAATGTTTTGTTTCGGATTTTTAGCTTAAATTGTATGCTCAAAACGTGGTTTTTGCATGTGCGAAAGCCGCGTTTTTGGAGACATTTTAGGCTTAAAGTTCGAAATGTAGACAAAAAATTTAGATAGTAATATGGCAGCGTGGAGTTTCTCACCAAAAATTTTTGGCGAGAAACTCCACATCAGGCGCACATCAGAGTAGTTCCCTCTTCTGTTATCAGGACTGGATTAAAAAATGTTATGTATGTATACACGCGTGCGTGTACGCATGTGCCAAAATGTTACATAGGCATGTTTAATCTTAATATACTATGATTTTACCCATGTGCGTGTGCGTGCATACATACACACACACATATCCATACATATATTTCTTAATTTGAGCTTCATAACAAAAGAGTACCTTACGGCCTTAGTGATCAACAATGCAGTTATAATTCCTTCTGGATTACAATATTGGGCAGTTTTCAGATAACCGGCCCTTGGCGATTTGTTGACATCTCGGAAGAGTGCATGTGCGCCAGATTATGGTAACCCTGACAAGCGTTACAAACCTGCAACCCACTCAGGGAACTTTCCTGAAGGACGAAAAGGGATTTTTTCTGTTTACATAGATTTAGGAAACGTTACGGCAAGACAAAATAGAAATTGGAAAATCACAAATCATAACGCTCTATTCCCGATAATGCTAAAAATAAAGCTCTATTCTGTTTACGGAACGTTCACGGTAAGACAAAATGAAAGTTGGAAAATCGCAAATCCTAATTAGTTCATGTTTTCGCAAATCATTATCGGGAGTTCATTTCAATTGAAAAAAAAAGAGTTTAAAGATTCACAGATTTTTTTTGCATTTTCGAGCAAATTTTGTAATTTATGAGAAAAAGCAGTGTACATGGATATAGTGAAGAGTGTGCACAATGCCATTTTTGTGCAATTCTGGGATTTTTTTTAAGTAAAAATAAGTTTGCGTGTACATGGTTTATGTGTATGTGTTATTTTGAAAAACGCATAAGAAGTATGGTATTGTGCACTTTTTCCCAATTTTGCAGTGAATATTTGTCATGATTAAGCAGTTTTGTTTGATAAAATTTCTAGCATAAGTGTAATTCGGCTAGTAGATTGTTGGAAGAAGTGTTCAGTAGATAAAAAGAAAAGAAACATGTCTTTACTTCGTGAAGACAAAATGGCGGCAGGGAAAAAAAATAGAGGGTTGCTGTAGGAGAGTTGGTTGCCAAATTTTCGCCAAAAAATTGCCAAGTTACCATAATGTAAAGATCAACCAAATAAAGCTCCATTATACTTATTTCTACCTTTTGTAAAATAAAATAGCTACCTCAGATGCTAAATTTATGTAGGGAAGAAGGACCAGAAAGGTAAAATACAACTTTTAATTTAAGCTCAATGCTCCTAAAATATAATAGAATATATACAGGTGACACTTGTATATTAAAGTGGCCACCATAACAAAATAAGCTGATTGAATTGCCAATTTTGTAACATGTAACTTTTAAATATTGTAAGGCTCTGTCTGCTTTAATAAGGCTGCTTATTTTATTTCACACATTTATACCTGTAGTTAATTTGTATTTGAAATTGTGAATAATTCATAAAATGCTGGTGAACAAAACCTGTGTCTACACATAAGAAATTAGCTTTGAATAAAATAAGTAGCAGCAAAGTCTAATAATTTATGCTAATTGCTTCTAAAAACACCCATACTTTTCTTCAAAACAGCACTTCAGTTATTAATTGTGTTAACAATGCAGTTGTTCTACATTTTTATGCACAGTGCTGTTACTTTCATTCTTTGGTTCAAAAAAGTGAATGGAATTATACATTCTGAAAATTAGTTCACAGCAATAATTAATCTTTTACTTGTATACAATAAATAATATATATGTGCCCAATATTGCATTCAACAGCTAATTTTGGACTAAATCATTCGCTTAGAAGATGCAAAATTAACGGCATAAGAAAAAAAAAAAAAAAAAAAAAAAAACCATTTAGCATTTGACCTTCATTACAAAGGTACACACATTTAGCTGATTGACAATATCTGGGAAATGCATATGAAACAAATAAGGCGGTTTTTATTAAATTTTGCCTCCAAAGCAATCACATTTTTGGTAAAAGTTTACAATTGGGTTCCCCTTGTTTTTTGGCGATTCTTTTTTGACGCCAAGATCGGCGCCAGGAAGACACAATTTCAAGATGGCCGCTACACAAAACCAAAATAAAAAGGTCAAAGATTTGCATAAACTCTGTGTCCATGTACACATCGATCTGTTTTCACTTAAAAAAATCCCAGAATTCCACAAACTAGGCATTGCGCACTGTTTAAATCTGTCCATGTACACATCAATCTATTTTTATTTTAAAAAAATCAGGAGGGTAAAGCAAAGTTACACTATCATGGTAACCAGAAATACGATTTCATCGCCAAAATTTTACAAAAAATTGTTGCTAATCGAAGGGACACCCAATTCTACACTAGAGCCACATTTTTTTTTTATTATTATTTTAAATCGAGGTGATTCAAGACAAATCTTAATATTAATGTTCATGTGGGTTCATTGACTGCATCAAAGCATCAGAAATCGGAGGGCGATCTGTCCAAGATCATTTATTTAGGCATTAGGGAAGGTCTTCCAAATGGAAATTTATATTCATGCCACAAATAAGGAAAACAGATAGTCCATACAGTATGTCACTAAGAACAAAATGCACGAATAATAAAGATATTCTGAAAAATGATCACATGAAAAGCACTAAATTATTACAACGTACCCAATTCTTTCTTCAAAACGTTTCTCTTCTAAATATTCTTCAACATCTTTTACGTCACAAAACTTGCTCCATGATTTCTTTTTATTTTTACTAACTTTTACACGTTTTTTTCCAGCAGAAACAGACCCCATGTTTACAACCATGCTTTCAAGGAACAGATAGTTGAAGTGCACTTTGCAACTTGGCAATTACAGATTTCTGCATATTGCAAAATTTATATACAATAACCAAATTTTAATAAGCTGTGACACGATTTTAATACTAAATAATTTAACTTAATGACAAAAGGCGATTTAAATTAGTATATTTTATGTATTTTTATTCATCTAAATTAAACAAGAGGAAAGGATATGCTTAAAACTTTTAAATTTATACTAAAATTTAAAAAGGTAATACTTTTAATTCATGAAATTTTTACTTAAAACATTTTTAATGTCACTAATCAAAGATCTCAACTTTATGGAATTCTCGAGATAACTCTAATTGCGTAATAGTTGTTTACATACGCTCTATAACTGCAGCGGGCAGAAAGGCTTAGAAGTTTCCGGACGAGATATATTTGTTTTGTAGTTTGTATTAACGTAATTGTAAAGACATGAATTTTTGTTATTGGAAATTAAAAAATCATTATTCGTTTTTCCGCTTCATTTTTTGAAATTAACTGGCATTAAGCGGTTTTAAAAAATTAGATTATGTTTGCTCCGACACATGCACTGAATTTTATTAGGCGGACTCGTCCTAAATTTAAGGAAGCAAGCTTATTAAATCCTTTAAATTATAGAATGTGCAAGTTACACTCTAGTCGGATGGATTTTCCTAGAATTTCATCAAATAATGCCAGAAGAGAACTCAGGTATTTTTCAAAGGAAACCACCTTAAATGTATTCGATAGGAAAGCCAAACGGGTGCATCGTGAATGGTCTGCCAGTCTGCAGGATGGAAACATATATAACGTCTTAAAAGATGAAGTAAGTTTAGGAATATCTAAAAATGTGGTCAAACTTATATGGCTGTATTTTTATTGCGTAATTAAGCATAAATGCCCTGTATGCAAATCTTGCGCTATGAGTCAAAAGAAGTTGGGGCACAACAAGCTTCCATACAGTTTTGGAAAGAATAATTGGCTACTGTTTGGAATATGGTAACAGGTAGTTTGGCGACATTATGGTAAGGCGATAAAGGTTACTAGGTAGGACTTTAGCAATAATCTGAGAAGTACACGGTTCAAATCGCAGATTATTTTGTCTCAGAGAAATGAGAGATCATGAGACATGTCATGTGACATTTTCCGGAAAATTCCGATCGTGATTTTAGCCAATAAGCACATAGAAACAATTTCGATGCTAAAGTGCAGAATCGCTCACTTATTTGTTTGGCGCTTTTAACAAGAGTAAGAAGAATTGTATTTTTGTCAATTTTCTTTTGACTTTTTAAGTGAAAATAGGTCGATGTGTACATGGATAAAGTTAAGAGTGTGCGCAATGCCATTTTTGTGCAATTCTGGGATGTTTTTTTAAGTGAAAATAGGTCAATGTGTACATGGATACAGCGTATGTGCAATTCTTAAAAACGTGCGAAGCACTTTCTCCCAATTTCACACCTAATCTTCGTTATGATTAAGCACTTTTGTTCCATAAAAGTTCTAGCATAAGCGTAATATTCGGCTAGCAGATTGTTAGAAAAAATGTTGAGTTAAAAAAAAAAAATATCTTTACTTCGTGAAAACAAAATGGCGTACAAAAAAAAAAAAAAAAAAAAAAAACTAGCAGGTTTCTGTAGCAGGGTTGGTCGCCAAAGAATCTCCAAGTTACCATAATCCGAAGATTCACCAAATAATTGAACGAAGTGCATTTCTCACATGCCATGTCCACGTTTTCTTCTCACTGATTGTAGCCCTAGCGATTGTATATTTTTGCGTCTGAGGTGTGTAAACTAAACTCGGTGCAATAGCCCTAGTGGGCAAAGGCCTGCTGTGCCCGAAAATCTGCTTTCTTGACCGTGGGCCCAGAGGTGCATAAGCGTATGCCCTGAACAAGTGGTCAGCTTGTCGCAGGACCCCTGCTACTTAGTCCCCAAGCGAACTTGATACTCATGTGTAAACTACTATTAAAAAAAGAAAAGAAATTGAATTACATGTTTCCCGATGTTAAATTACTATACCTTTTTCTTATTGGGACTGGGTTAAAAAATTTATGTATATGACGTGTGTATGTATGCATACACATACATGTACTATATACATACACGTACATATATACATGTATATGTGAACATGCACATCCATTCATACATACGTTTTTTAATCCAATCCCAGTAGCAGAAGAGTACCTACATGATGAATATATTTGTGTTAATGTTATTTATGGAAATATGATTAAAAATCAACTTATTGCTTTGATTGCACTCGCCCAGTACTTGTCATTAATAATAACATACAACAGTAATTGGGTGAATAAAGTTATCAGTAATAATATCATGCTTAACCTTCCAGCATGCGCGCTTGGCAATTTTACATGAGCATGCGCACGTCATATTTTTTACTATATCCGTTATTTTACCATTTTTGGCATGAAAAACGACAGAAATGAGTGATATTGATAATAAATTTGTTAAGAAATAAAATATTAATCTTAATATTGCAAAATACAAATGATATCACATTCAAATATAAGTAAATAATTTTTTTAAGTTCTTATATTAGTGAGATGGAAATGCAATAATGTATTTCATTATAGAACATTTTAAATTTATTATTTAATAATTATATTTTAAAATTGAAACTAATTTTAATAGTCATCAAAGGCAAGTCTAGACAAATAAAAAAGGAAAACACCTTGGTAGGAAAAAAAGTAAGTTTAGCATTACTTACTTCTGCAAGGAAATTTACTTCTTACTGGTTACAAAAACACACTTTAAACTAACTTTAATATTTTAATTTATTTCTAAAAAATAGAAATAAGGAATGGAAAACGCTATTGTTCTCCCATTCAAAGGTTTCCTTGTCTTCCTTTTCTTCATCAGATAATTCTTGAAAATGCGAGCAAAATCAGCTGGTTGCACATATATTTTTGCCATGAAAACTGATATAAAATTTACAGAGCCAAATGTATTCAGATTAAAATAATACATGGCAATTAATAACACATAATTACAAAATATGAACCATGAACACGCACGTGTCGTAACTTTTACGAAAACGCTGCCACACAACACAAATACCCAATTAAAAAAAAAAGTCAAATCACTTCCTGTTAGCATATTTCATGATGAGGGGAAGGGTAGAAAGAATGTTTAGATGTCTCAGCTTCGATATGCAAAACATTTGCATTAAAAACTGAATTTGTCATAAATTTTGCGCATATGCGCGTGCTGGAAGGTTAGCATTGTGCTTTTATAGTATATGCCATCAGTGTCATCCTATGCTATCTATTATTTTGACACTTAACCCTTTGCGGCGCACTGTGCGTTAACGCGTTAACGTCGGAATTTCAACAAAAGTTGTATGCAGTCTGTTTGATCCTAAAGGTGTATACAGGTAAAATTTTGTAAAAATTGCACTTACCATTTTAATTCTGTGGGTGTTCCATGAGGTGGAACACTGCGCTGTCAGAGCTTTTAAAAGTGTGACTAAGCGAGCATTGCAGTGAAGCACGAAAATGAGTAGAAGCGTTTGTATAAGAATGAAAAAACTCTATATTATGGCTGTATACATGGTTTCCTGGATATACATAATATTCTTGAATATATATACGGATAAATGAGATAAATATCTATATACAAAAATATTTACAAATTTTCCTATTTCTTAGCTTCGTTAAATTGTTCAAAGCAAGTCACATCTTTTTGATGGAAGCACAAACCAACTATGATTAATATTAACAATAAAGAAAAATAAGCCTATAATATATACATACACGAAAAATATCTACACAATTATTGAAAATAAACAGGAATGAGACTAAAAAGCGACAGCAAAAAATTTGCGCAGGTCTAAGTAAAGATGAGTCAAGCTACTAATAAAATTTCCCGCCTAAAAACTACTCCCAAAAAATTAAAAATGCCAATATTAGGGCTTTCATTACACAAAACACACCTCACCCCTCAATACTGCTGTGTTTGAATTCATTCATCCCCCCCCCAAACAACGGAAACAGAAAACGTAAACACCGGATGTTCTCTCCTAAGCACAGATGTTCTGATTCGTAACAGCATGAGATCGCTAAAGGCGCAGTGTTCCTGCTAATGGAACACCCAGTTTTATTCAATAATTCTGTGTATGGTTTTTGTATGAAAGATTAAAAAAATATAGAACAAATAATTTGGAGCCAGCAAAATTATGCCTAAATTTTTTTCCAAATAAAATTTTTTATATCATTAAAAAATAGAGAAAATTACTTGAAAAAAGTGGATTTTAATAACACATAATAAATCAAAATTCTGTGTCTTCTTGTGATATGCTGCTATCTACTGTTTAAAAAGAAAAGTTCAAAGTATATTATAAAGGCATTTTTATCTATTTACGGTTGAATTTAAAGGTTTCAGAAACGATTCAATTTGGGTGTTCCATGTAGTGAAACACTGAGCCACAAAGTGTTAAATCACGCACATTAATTTGCCAAACAGTACTGTTACCACAACTGCCATTAGTGGTAAACATATGAAATGAAGTTCTGAATAGTTTTGATTCAGTGAGCAATATATTGCAGGGCTGTCACTTTAAAAAAAAGGTTTTAATTTATTGTAGGAAATAATTTGATAAAAAATGTAACTAATTTAATTAAATGAATAATTTTTATTTCCAAATGAGTGAAATTGGCACATCTGATGAATACTTGATAGCAACCTCACTGGTAGATGAATAAGAACACTGAATACTGCTAATCCCACATTGAATTTATGGAAGAGAATCAGCTGTCTGCATAGTTATTGCGATTTCTCTCACATAAAGCGTAAATTCAAGTCAGAGTCTAGAAAATCCTTCTAAAAAGTACAGCTTGAAGGGAGTCCTTAATTGCTGTGACATAATAAATTACACCTCTATTAATAAATAATATGCAAAGTAAAAAAAAAGGAAGCAAAAACTTTAGAGATTTAAAAATTCGGTATTTATATATTGCAGTGAAAAAAATCACCAAGCACAAAATTTTTAATCTGAAGAAAGATGCCAAGCAGAAAATTTTCAGGAATAACAAAACATAATGGGAAGAGGAAAATGTACGTATGTTAATTTCTGTACTTCCTTATCACTGCCTGCATTTTGTATTCTGTGCCAAGATTATCAATAAATCACCAACGCAAACCGTCATAAAATGGCTGGTAATCTTAACCACAATCATTTAAGTTTGCTAGTGTGGCAAATAAATGGCATATCTTATTTTCTTTTTCATATAAATGTTACAAATTCATGATCATTGATAATTTTCTTGTCATGAGTGACTGTATTTTCTTTTCTTTCTTTTTTGAAAGAAATTAAAAATATTTGGTTTATCGAGAAATGAAGAAGATGCAATATCTTTATTTCAAGAAAGTGTTTTACTTCTCATTTGAATATTTGAAAATGGCCGTTAAATAAAACTACATAGCAATGAAAGTGTATGGAAATGTAACATGAGAAACTGCATGTTCAGGAAAACCATACATTTTGACAACTTATTGAAGGCTTTCAGAATATTTATAACCATGTCACAATTTATATACTGGTTAGAGGAACTGATATTAATTAAGTGGTAGGTGAAGCAACTCAGCTTTATGAGAGTATAGATTTTGCTAAAATAGTCATGAGAGTAAAAATTCTCTACATCTAATCCAGTAAGCAAATAGGTGGCCCTTAAAAAATTATGGACATAACCAAAAAATCTGTAAATTTAGGAACTAGTAAAAAAAACTACAGCTGCTCGTATATAATACATATAGGCCTAAAATTTTTCCAGTATTTCCATATTACACTTTAGTATTACTCTTTAGACAATCACATCTTGATAAATTAACGATTAAATTTTGGGGGCCACTGTAATACGGAAGAACCATTTTTACTTAGGAATATTTATTTTAATTTATATTGGTCTTGTAACTTATTACCATAATTTAAAGCACATTTTAAAATTTTAATATATTCATAAAATTTTTGCATTCAAATATTTGATGTACAAAATTTTTTTATAATGTACTCTTTCCTCCTTAGATTGGTGATCGTGTTGCTGATCGAGTTTATGACATCATTAGGTAGTACATTTCTAGTTTATTTCAGATGATATGATCGATTGCATAATTCATTACTTAATATTTATATATTGAAATGAGTTAAAAGTTCAGGCAAATTTTTTCATACTTAACAAATTTCTATCGGCAGAGAAGGTATTTTCTGTTATTGAGACCAGATTCAGAAATGTATGTATGTAAATATGTATGCACAACAATATATATACTAGTGTCCAAAAATTAAGCATAATTAATAAAATGTTGAAGAATGTGAGTAAATATGAATTAAATTGTTCAAACTCACTTGTGAAGAATCATTGTTTTAAGGTGAAACTGTGCGCATTTCAGTCGACATTGGCATGCACAAAACATGTGTGCATGTCAGAAAGTATAAAACTGTTTCACAAGCCATACAGAGATCAGGCAGGTGCAATTTCTGTAGTAAAAAGTGAGTTAAATGATCAAAAAGGCCATAGGATGGCACAAAGATGCCAAATGGTCATGTTTTGAAAGGAAGAATTTTGGAATATGGATGATCTCAAATTCTGAATGTGTTTCTTCTCAAGACCATGGCAGAGGTTTCACAGTACAAGAGGTGGGAACTACTCTTATATGTGCCCCCATGCCGTCATATTACTACCTAAATTTTTTGTCTACATTTCGAATTTTAAGCCTAAAATTTCTCCAAGAATGCGGTTTTCGCACATGCAAAAAACCACGTTTTGAAGACACAATTTAAGCTAAAAATCCGAAACGAAAACAAAAAATTTAGATACCAAAAACGTAAAGTTTCTAACCAAAAATATTTGACAAGAATCCATGTACACAGTGTACAAACTAATAGTTTGTGCACTGTTTTCTTTTAAACACTTTTTTTTTTTTAAATAAAAGTGATGAATATCCTTCTTTTGCTTTTTTTATGATATAACCATATTACACTTGCATATCATATTTGCCACCATTCTGACTTAGATTTCCTTAAATATTCATATAAACTTCGATTATGCTTAACTTTTGGATACTAATACATGTCCTTTTGAATAGTAATTTATTTGCTTATATACAGTACAAAGTTCGAGATCCTGATGTCCAGTATCCGGAATGATCTAAAATTTGGACCTCAAAGCCAGCAACAACCTTTTATTTATTTATTTATTTATTTATTTTTGGTGTGTGTGTGTGTGCATTTGTGCCTAATAAATCACGTTGAGAGTCTTAATTTCATCTTGGCACTAAATAAAATACTTCATTATTGAAGAAACAATCATTTTAGCATAAATTTGTATGATCAATAATTTGGCTTCATAGCTGCGTATCTACTTGGTCTCAAACCGAAACATTCTACACAGAAACATTGTTGATTTTACACCTACTAATATTTTATATCTCTGATGCCAACCTGGTGAAACATTATTTATTATATTTTGCTTTCATTGCCTCATGTTTATCAACATATGATAACTTGAGTAATGATTCATGCAGTGATGTCTAAACACTTTTTTTTTTTTAATATTAGTAACAGAATAACAAGGTGCATAGTAATTTTTTATGTTTACATTGTGCTTCGATGATAACAGGTTTAAGTTAAAAGCTCTAAAAATATTGACGAGGAAAAATTTAACAAAAATTTCTTTCCATATACTAAAAATAGATTTTGTTAAAGATACCTATAGGCCAAAAAATTACATCTAGTGCTATTTAAATTAAGAATAACTGATTTGTTATTCACATAAACCCAGAATCAGCACCACAGCTCGTATGACCACACCAGACGGCAGAATTTAGGGAAGACAGTTTTTTAGGAATTTAGAGAAGCGCCGAACAACAAAATTGCAGCATGACAAAATTTTTAGGTTTTATGAAAAGCAGGGGGACCTAAAATTTAGGGATGGCGAAAATTCAGAACTTATAGAGGTGCTTGGTAGAAGAATTTAGGACCCACAGAGACTGCATCAGACAGTAAGATATCTAGTGCCGGTCCTTGATAAGCCTTAAGTATATGTGGGAATTTATTTAGTCAGAACTCAGATAATGTGCAAGAAAGCCTTAAGCATGTGCAAGAAATAGATGCAAGTATAATAAATAACTAAACTAATGCAATTCGGGCTTAATTATCTCAGTGCGCGACAGAAGCAAGACAAAATTTAGCGGAACTACTTGTCTTTCATTGTCAATCTCATGATACATAGCCAATAATGTATAGCAGACACTACTAAGCTAAGCTAAAATTACACTTTATTGATTCCAAGGAATTTCAAGTAATATAGCAGATAGTGCTGTTCCTTAACTTTTTGATTTGATCCAGCTTATTATTTTTGCTGGCTGTTATTATTACAGCAATTTTATGAAAATTTAAGTTTGAATTTTTGATTATGTCGAAAAGAGTTTCTAATTCTGGAGCCTCAACAGGATATACAAAGTGAAAGCATGTTTCACTGTTCATTAACAAAAAGTAGAATTGTTGCAAAAATGGATAAAGCTATATCCATCTCAAAATTATGCGAGGTGTATGGCATTGGAAAGTCAACTGTATATAATATAAGAAAACAAAAAAAGGAATTTTTTGTGCATTCAGACACCCCACTTGCAATGAATAACAGAAAAATTATTTGTTATGCTAAAAAGGGCAATCATGACAAAGTGATGATTGGATGGATCAGACAGTATCACAGAGATGGCGTGCCATTGACGGATCCAATGCTAATGGCTAAAGCCAAAATATTTCATGAGGAAATGAACTTAAAAAACTGAGTGCACTTCTTTGACAGGTTGGTTAATCAAATTTAAAAATTGCCATGGTATGAGGCAACTAAAAATTTCAAATGAAAAAGGCCTCAGCTGATACTGAAAATGCTGAATTATTTACAGATGAACTCATTGATAGTGAAAAATTGGTTAACCTGATGACACAAAACATTGTCTTAATTATAGATAACTGTTCAGCTCATATTTCACTTAAAGTTTTAATGAAAGATAATGTATCCTTGTTATTTCTTCCTCCAGACTGTATGTCCATCATTCAGCCTATGGATGTCGGAATAGTGCGCACGCTGAAGTGCAAATATAAAGTCACATTTTTAAAATCCATGTTAAATTTCTTGAATAATGGCAATGCAAGAATTTTTTTAATATTTTAACATAAAATCTGCTGAGTGGAGCATAGCGAGATTGTGGAAGGATGTGCCTCCAGATACTTAAGTTACTCTAGATAAAAAGTTCTTGGCATAATTTATGGCCAGCTATCATATTTCATGGGGAGGATGATGAAGATGATAGCTGAAAATTTGAAGGCTTTTTGGAAATTCCATTTTTAACTTTATTTTACAAAAATTTTGTTGAATCCATTTATAATTTGTTCAAAATGTTTTATTATTGACTATTCTGTTACTTATTTTACTTTTGCCTGTATAATTGTATTTCTGAATTCATTTGAATTAATTATTGCATTCAAGTTTTTCATTTGTCTGCTGTTGACATACTGTTTATTTGTAAATAATGCAATTTATCTTACAGGAAATTTTCTGTTTGTGTAGAGCTGGGATGTGGAAGAGGTCATGTTACAAAGCATCTTAATAGTGTAAGCTTATTTTTTTAATAAAAAAAAGTAAAGTATTTGTATAAAAGTAATTTTGGGAAATTAAAAAAATTTTTAATTAGTTTTTTTTCCCCTCCTAATATTAACTACAGAATCATTTTGTTAGCTTTTATGTATTCACTTAATTCCAGAAAACTAGGATTAAATGTTTGATTGCACAATGTGAAATAAAAGAAAAATTTGTATTAAAATAAAGTACATTTTATATAGGGGGGAGTGCTAGATTTTTGGGGATGGGAGCTGGTATCCATGGATTTTGCTTTCTTAAATTAAGTAAATTAGGTAATTTTAATTGATGACAGTTTATGAATTTTGGATAATAAGAATGTTTCAGATATTTCGATTTTTAAAGAATGAAAGCAATAGCTGTAATAATCTAGTATTATTTAATTATGCTGTATGTATTTCAGTTTGCAGCATTGTAATTCGAGTTAAAAATTTCAAGAATTGGAAAAATTTGCCTAGATTTCTTTATAGAATTCATCTTTCATCAGTTTGTGCAAGTGTCTAAAGACAATAATTTACATGCAGTCCTGTGTATCTGCAAAGAGGATCAGCAAGATAGATAATTTCTTTTGAAAAATATCTGTAATTTTTTTTTTCTTTCTAAATTAAAAACATTTTTTTTTATAATACGTAATTGGTGTTAAGAAAGAAATAGCAATAATCAGTTGAGTAGACAAAAAGGTAACTTTGACCAATTTGTCTTCAATATAATTGCCATATATCCCTAGCAGCATGGAATCTATTGGAAATGAATATCTTTTTTAACTCTGCTGAGTGAGAAATGAAATTTTTGCATAAGTATTCTGTAGGTGAAAGATAATTTGATGAGTGTGTGTGTAAGAATTCCTATTGCAACCTGTAAATCCATGAAAATTACATTCATTTCTTAATAACATTAAGGTAGGGGTAAATTTATGATTTTGCCACCTGTAGGCTAAAATTGTTCTCTGATCACTAAATTCTCATTATTTTCTACTTTATACTTAAATATTTTTTAGAATGATAATTAATCAAAATATAATTTCACAAGTATTAGTTTTTATATGAATATTAACAAATTGTATGTATTTATGATTTATAAGTGAAAAAAGTAAAGAGAAAAAGAAAAATCATAAAAACATAATAAAATACAAGGAAATCATATTTAATTTTCTATCCAGTTTTTTATAATTGATATACATATCATTAATTACTAGAAAAAGGAAATCATAAAATAAGGTATATTTATTTAGCTATTTCATAATTTTGCAGTGTAATTTTATTTTAGCTAGTTTTAATTATCATTAATTTTAATTATCATTTAAAGAAATTAGTCTTATTTATTAAAAGAAAGTATGCAAGTCATGTTATATTATCAGAATTCATATTCATTTAGTCTTCCCTCAGGCATAGTCAGTCTCTCTCTCTCTCTCTCTCTCTTTTTTTTTTTTTTTTTTTTTTTATGTGTATGAAAGCTAAAACAAATTGCATTCTTTTGCTTTGTGCTTAGTTTAATTTTTCAGATTCGATGAAATTTATTAATCCAAGTATTGCCATCCTAGTTTTATTTTAGCTAACCTGTGTGTAAATCTTGTCAGTAAAAGCATATGAATTTCTCCACTGAAATTTTTTACTCAAGACCCCACAAATTGTTTCAGTTGGAAACAGTACTCAAAATCACCCAAGCATCAGAATTAAGATTTACTTCAGTTTTAGAAAAACTTGTTAAAAAGATGCTGTATCGTCTAATAATTTGCACCTATACATTATTAAGCCACCATTTGTTTCTTTTCTTTCTTTCTTTTTAAGGGCCAGTGTAAATTTTTAAAAGCCAAAAATCTTGACGAGTATTTAGTTTTCTGTGCCAGTTTGTAACTCCATGGAACCACTAAACATTGATATATGCTCATAAGTTGAAGAGCATAGTTTGTGCTATGTCTAAACTTGATATAATATTTTAAGGGTCAGCAATGAGCAATATGATCAAGAAGTGATCACACATAAGATTTAAAAGTGAAGATTTAAAATGTTTTGTGAAGTCCATCTGTTCTAATTAGCTCTTTAACCTACCTGCCTTATTTATATTTTTGATAACTTATTACACACAAATTTATTTGACAAGATGCCAAACAAAAGTAGAGCTTCTCTATATGCATTCAGTGTAATTAATCTTTATATAATTTGACTGTATATTTTCAAAGTAAGTTTTAAATAATAGCATTTTATTTAGCATAGAATAAAATGCTTCTCAAATGAGAAACACAGCGAAATTAACATTATTAATACAAGATGGGAAAAGAGATTGGTAATATAAACTATAAAATAAGTTAATGCAAAATTATTATAATTATCATTTAGTGAATACTGTAAGTCTATATAGCATTAGTGCTTTTCCATTCATATGACCATAAAATAATAATAAATATGTTTTTAATCTCCATTAAAATTTTATTTTAGCTATATATTAATTATAATTAAACATGTTATATATCCATGTTATCAACCAGTTGTTTCTATTTTTAGGAAAAAGTTGATGTGATCTATCAATGCGATATGTCTCAAGGAATGGTGGTAAATGAATTCTTATTTATATCTCTCTTCAACTAGTTTACTTATTGGTATCTTATGCAACATAATTTAATACCATTTTTTATATGAACCCATTTTAATATCACCTACACTTTCCAAAATTATCTATGCTCAAAGCCTTTAAAGTTTTAACTTCAGGAAAAGTACTTTTTATGTTAAAATTTTTGATACTTTGTTATAACAGTTTGTAACATATACATGCTTCTTGTATTTACATTACAATGTAAGTCGCATTAAGAGTTCCTTTAAAAATGTATGTATTTTTTTAAAAGGATAACATTGAATAAATAAATTGAAAAAGTTGTAAAACATATATTTTAAAAGGGAAGTCTTCTGAATCTGCTGTAAAATATATTTAAATATGTATATATACATTTTTTTTTAAGTTTAAAGAGTTAAATTGAAATAATTATCGAATAATTTTTTTTTTTTTTTTTTTTTCTCCTTCCTTTTTCTTTCTTTGTTTGTTTTTGTATTTAAGTATGTAGAAAAAGAATTGAAAAATTATATCATACTGTATGGTTCTATATATTAAGCATTGGTACATAGGCATTCTGTGCATATATATGCAGTGATTTTAAATTACAAATTAATTGTTAAAAATATAAGTCTTAGATTTTTAATTTTGAAAAAAATTAAGAAATTCTAAGAATGTGTATGTACTAAGTGGCATAGTTTATTTTAGGATATTCTTTCCCTGATCAAATTAATTGTAGAGAAATTAAATGAAATAAAGGATCTGTGGTCTCATGTATTTCATTTTGCCCTTCAATTTTTTTTTTTTTTTTTTTTTTTTTTTTTTTTTTTTAAGGAAATCAGTGAAGTTTCTGAAGATATACCTACTTTTAAAATGGTTGTAGATGAAGAGTTTTTACCATTTTCAAATAATAGCATTGATCTTTTTTTAAGCAGTTTAAGGTAAGTGATTTCTTTAATGTGGTTTTTTAATATTTTATTTTGCATTGTAAATTAATTTGAGTTTCATTTATTACTACACGAGAGTCTGTTGGCTAGAATAAAGTCTTTTGGCCTTTTTATGACAAGGATTTGATTCAACAGGGGTTTTCATATTTTTCAACGAAAAACACCCATAAATGAGCAATAATAATTTTTATTTTTTCAGTGTAATCTTCCACTATAATAATACACAAAACCCACTGTTTTTCTAGTGTTAAATAGCCATTGATTTTTCCATTTGTCTGAGTCTTGACCATATGGCTGGGTTCACTTGAAAATCACTAGAAATTATCATTGCTGTTGAAATGCTGATCTCCACAGAAATCCTTTAAGGCTCCAAACAATGAAAACTGATTGAAGCAACATTTGGATTATAATAGGTGTGTGTAGTAACCTTCTAAGTTTTTGCAAAATAAAATTACTTCAGTAGTTGGTATGTAAACCTGCATTTATTTATGTATTTATTCAGAAATTAAACACCTTTAGTGATCAAACCGGGTTATTTTTCTTAGTCCTACATAGTTATCTAAGAACCTGATCTTAGTAATTTCTGTCAGTGGATGTGTCACAAAATATGAAATCCATGTAAAATGTGTCACTTTTATCTCCAAAAATACTGGCTGTGACTTTGCCTATTGTCAGTAAATGTACTCTTAAATGTTTTGGCGGTGGGAAATTTGAATTTTTTCACTGCTTTTGATGAACATTTTGAATCCATAATGACATACAACCATGTTTTTTTAGAAAAGACAGCCAATCAGAAAACATTGATCTTCAATGTCAAAAAGGTTCTTTTATGCGGGTTATAATGTTCTTATAATATATAGTCTTATAATGCAGATTTACAGTTTTTCCTACCTGAAAGCAAACAGCTATCTTGGTGCCTAATGGGAGCTAGCCTTTCAAAACTGTATGTATTTGTGAATAGAAAAGTTTTATATATAAATAGAAAGGTGGGTGTGCTTTGCAAGCTGGTGTCAAGCTTCTGCTGTACAAGCTTGGAAATCAATGGATAACAAACAACCCATTGATTTTCAAGTGGCAGGCATTACATTCATAGAATGTTAAAAAAAAAATGACTATAGTGTAATGTTCAAAGGAATGACTAATGCCATTTTGATCAGGTTCCTCTTATACTGAAGTACAGCCATCTTTAAACTGTTTGTATTATTCAGATGTTTCACTATAGCTGAGAATGTCATTGCTATATTGCATGGGAGTGTTTTGTATCATTCATTCATGAAAAATTTCATTAGTATGTCCTGTTGTATTTATATTCATGGGCTTAGATACCATCTAGTTTAATAAGTGATTTGTATTATCCCTTGCAATTAACATACTTTGCAATAATAGTAGATACATTGTAGAGACTATAGAATTTTTTGGAAGCAGGCAAGAAGAAAAATTCGCAATCACCTTCGCTGGGAATCGAACCACAGACCTCTGGAATACTGGCCCAGCGTGCAGAACCACTACACCATGAAGGCATGCTAGGAAAGTGAGAGAAATACCTTATATAGTTCCCCTTTGAAACGGCAACTAGGGTTTCAGAGGACCTAGTTGCCAAATTCTGGTGTGAAGAATCATCATCCACAACCCTTTTAGTTCGGGTGCCACTGTAGAGACATTAGGATTTTTTGGAAGCAGGCAAGATGAAAAATTAGCAATCGCCTTCGTCGAGAATTGAACCACGGACCTCTGGAATACTGGCCTCGCATGCAGAACCACTACACCATGAAGGCACGCTAGGAAAGCGGGAGAAATACCTTATAACATCATTTGTATTAATTCGACTAACAGTATATACTAGGATCTCTATATGCTTGTGAGATAAGAATGGCTTGATCTGAATTTTAATTTCTTCTTTGCCTTTGCATTTTATTATTTTTTTAATTGTTTACTTTAATCTTAAAAGAATGTTCTCTATTAATTATTCTAGTTGTTTATAACATGCACCTCAGTGATTCTTAATCTGTTTTGCTACACGTAACCCTTTCAGCATTGCTAGAAGATCATTTGTTCCCTTACTTTTCAAAACTCGAAAAATACATATATGCATTTATTTAGATTATTTTAAAGTGTTTTGTAACATAAATAAAAAATTTGGAAAATATTGACAAATAACAAAACTTGAATAGAGGTAGTTTTTTATATTCATAAACTAAAACCAAATACAGTCAAAAATCATTAATTCGGGCACCCATAATCTGGAATGATCTATAATCCAGACCTCAAAGCTACAAACTTTCTGCGCAGCGTCATACGTTTACGAATGAACGTTTAATGTATAACGGACAGTATAAGCTAAGCTAAAATTATCTAATTCAGTTAATGTTGCAGATTGCGTTATTCCTTAATCTTCGAATTGGATCCGGCTTATTATTTTTTGCAGACTGTTAGAGCAATTTTATAAAAGTAAGCTTGAACTTTTAATTATGTCAAATATAATTTCTGATATATATTTACTAATATGTAAAGGATCTACAAAGCGAAAGTATGTTTCAAAGTCCATTAAACAAAAAGTGGAATTGCTGCAAAAAAATGGATAAAGGCATATCCTTTGTTTATCTAACCATTCCGAAATCTGTTTATAAATTTCACGCTGTTCTGAGGCGGGGGGTGGACGCCTCGGCGCACGATAAATTGGAAGTTTATCTGTCAGTACTATCCTTATCTTCAGGGCAGATGTTTTTATTTTATTTGGCTTATAATTCCTTACTAAATGTAGTGTTTCATCTTGATGTACTCCGTCTTTGATATGATTTAAATCAAATTCCTCGTCATTATAATTCGCTTCTGATAGCGAAGAAAGTGACACAGATGTTATTGAAAATGAAAAAATTTCGATTGACGAATTAGTTGGTATTCTCGGCACAGCAATTATAGGACTTGAACATCGGAACTTCATAACTGAACAAGAAATTATGTCTGTTTAATAGAATTAAAGAGAAAGTATTATCACATGAAATGAAGCAACTTAAACAACTTACATTGAAAGAAGTGTTTAATAAAGTAAACAAATAAATATTAAGCTTTTTCTTTTTGTAAATTTTGATGCCCTTTAGATCGTAATTGTTCTTTATTTCATAATTTATGGTTTCATATTTTTAATTTTATAATTTCTGCATGCCATCTTATCAGACTTAAACTGATGATCTATAATCCGGAAAAATCAATGATCCGGAATCGCCGAAGTCCCTACGAGTCCAGATTAACGACTTTTGACTGTACTTAACAGCTAAAGGAAAGGCTCACTGCATTCCCTCTTTGAAACTATGAAGTCACCTCGCCCGCATTTAAGAATAACTTCTAAAGTGTTAGGTGTTTTTAAGAACTTTTCTAAGTTTCAAATAATATTATTTTTTTGTGCAGTAATAGCTTGACAATCGGAAAAGCTCAAGAAATGCAAATTCCAGATGTGTGAAAATTCCAAATAGTCGAGCATATACTAAAAAATGGAATTCACATTAGAAATGCTAAATCAGTGGGAAATAATTATAAAAACAAGTGTCCTATTTGACACTAATTTGAATATCAAAAACATACATTTAAAATTAAGATTTTGGTGAGGTTTTATTCTTGTAAAAGCTGACGTATTTTAGGTTTTATCCGATTATGAAATCCCGCTAAACATGAAAGTTGGCGAAGATTTTGCCAGTCATTCTGGAAGAAGTTTAGATGAACATATTGTTCTCTGTTTAGTCTCATAATAAAGAAATACAAATTATGGATATAGTGTAAAAAAGACTTAAATTGTTTATCATAATTTTTCATGTTACATAGCTATTATTTATTCATTTTCAAAGTTGTGTATCGTGGCCTTTTTTGATGCCCAGAACCTGTAACTTTTAAAATATCCCACTTCACACAGTACCAAATATTAATCAATTTTTTTCAAAATGCAAGGCAAAATAGAATTTGTGTCCTATAAAATAGAATTTTCAAAAATTATACCAGCTTATCGATAATTAATCGAATTTACAATTAAACCAAACCTGACATCTTATGGTCAAGTTGTGACATCATGCTTAAATTAATTAATTATGCACACAACAAATTAAAAAATGCATTTTCTTGTAAACTGTTTAACTTCAGAATTCACATTTCTAGCCAGCAGAAAGATTACAATTTGTTTGTTAAATCAGTCTCTCATCCCATAATTACCACTGCATAATTCATGACCAATTCTTTCTTCCTCTTCAGCATATAGTTACCATTATCCTTCCATTCAAGGAGGGACAATGTGTATCAGTGCTAACAAGCATTTCATGAAATTTTCATTCAAGGAGAAAAGAAATTTCATGGAATTTCAATTCATTATCCATTTTGGCACTAAATTGCACAGTTTGCATATGTGTAAACCAGTATTATGAGCTTTAATTTGTATGGCTTTATTTTGCTGTAGTACTGATAACAAAAAAAGGGATGCTTTTATGAAATTAAATGATAACATTTGAAAATGCTTAAGTCATAAGGGTGGAAGTGCAAACTCTGCATTCCATCTTTTAAGGTTTTTTAAGGTTTCTACTTTCAAAATCTTTCTGTGTTGGCATGCACAAATTATATTCAAAGGGAGTTCTCAGAAAATGTCACTAGAAGAAGCATTTTTTAATTTGTTGTGTGCATAATTTGTAACATGTCATAACACCTATGCAAAACAATTTCAGCTTGCAAGATACGGATAAAATGTTGAAAGATTTTGATCCATTTGGTCAGTGCCTCCAAAGAATAACTGCATTTAAATTGGGAATTTCCCAAACAACGTCGACCAATTTATTTAAACAAAGAATTGTAACTGATGATGAAATAATAGAAAATGCAAATGTTTCAAGGAAGTGCAAAAGAAATGGAGAATCAAGAGATACTAAAGTTGCCCTTCTAGAATGGTTACAAGCTATGGGACTAATATAAAAATCTATATTTCTAAAGCTCTTTTGACTAAGAAGACTGTGAAATATACTAAAATGCTAGGAGAATGTCTTACGAAATGGAAAAACAGAAATAACATTGTTCACCGGAACTACTTGGTGAGAAGCAAAAGGCAGATTATAATGCAACTAAGAACTGGATAAAACAGATTTTATTTAGCTACTAAATAAATACAAGCCACATAAAATTTATAATACAGATGAAATTAATCTTTTACTGAGCATTATTGGAGCATGCATTTGAATACAGTGAGAACAGCAATGATTTTAATAAGTGGCGGGCAATGTATATACTTAAAAATACATAAGTATATACACATTTATATATACTTAAAAAAGATTAAGTTCAAAGGAGTAAAAATTAAGATTATCCTGTCTAAGGAAAAATGTGGGGCAGGTAGAATATTTAAGAGATCTTAATGGAAATGGATCTTAATGGAGAGTAAAAATGGAAATTTAGATAAGTCTAAAGGTGTATTGTACAGAATGCAAATATGAGAAAAAAACTTTGGTGAAAACCTCAAAAATTAATATAGCAAGGAAAAATTAGTACATGAAATAATAAACATATTAACTAATTAATCACTCCCATCTAATGTTTCAGACAGAACTTATTAAGGGGTAAGCATTTAAAACATTAAACCAGGTTGATTAATGAGAGATAAATAGCATGTTTCATTCGTCTGAACAATGTAAGACTGCAAACCATTGTAAATTAATTTACTTTTTGAAAAATTATTTAGAAGTCGTCTTACACTGCTGATAAGCTTCCCCAACATGTCATCTGACCTCTTTAAATTAGAAAGTGCAAATAAACAAACTAAAAGTAAAACATATAAAATATAAAAACTGATAATGTAAAAATACAGCAAATTGCAAGAAAAATTAGCAGAACTGTGCAAAGAAATTCCAAAAACATATTCATATTAATTATGAATTACTAATGCGAATTCAAATACACAATTAAAAAGGAGGGTTGTCTCATTAACTTAGTCCTATGAAAAAATCGAAACTGTGCAATTTCTGCTCATAAAAAAAATTTGGTTATGAAGAAAACATGGATTATAGGGCATTGCATTGCTGAAATAGTTTGCCATTCAAAAAAGCTGTAATCTACCAACATCTAGACAAATACTTCAGATAAAAACCAATGAATTTAGCACATGCTTTGGAGACACTGGAATAGAATGAATATCAAATACAAATAACCGTGCATAATGATAATAATCATAATTAAATATTAATATACTTGTTTTAATCAAATTTATTATTCACCTCTTTTGATAACAATGCTAATTATATTTTTCTTTATTCATCAGTAAATTTTTGTATCTTTTTTGAGATAATCCATTTTTCTTATCTGGTTGGATATAGTGAACCAAATTTCTATTATATATTATTATTATGCACGGTTATTCCCTTGAAATTCTTTACCATGAGGTGTGACTGTATGTGCAGTAGAAAGTCTGAGATCTGGAATCATCAGGACTTCAGTTCTAGAATTTAAGGTCATCAGTTTGAATCTAGTATGATTATTGCAGAAATTATAAAATAAAAAAACTGAAAAGTTTGTAAAATAATAAAGCATTTCTAATGTTTAAAAACCAGAAAACAAAAATCACTGTTACCAGAAAACAAAAATCACTCAACGTTAATGTTGTTTAGTTTCATTATTTTTTTTTTCCTTCTAGTATAAGGCTATTAAGCAGTTTTATTTTATATATCAGTAATTCCTCTTTAATATAATACTGTGGGTATGTCACCTGATGGTGCACCAAAGCCTGATGGCGCACTCATTGCATCTACGTTTGGTGGTGATAGATCATTTTTTTATTATTATTAGTTATACTAATGCAAACATTAATGGTAAAATAAATTAATCTCATTATTAAGAAGAAATTATAATGCAAAGTTAATTAATTTGAAAAAATTTTTAACACTTCACTCTTCAATAAAAAAATTACACACATTTCTTTTAATCATATGTGTATATATGTATATATATATATATAGTATTTTGTAATTATAGTAATTTTAATATCCCTAAGTTTTATTTTATCCTTATTTTAATTTATCTTAGCTTTTAACATATCTTTTAATCATAATAGCTTTCACTGGATCAATGATCTTCCTGGTGTGCTTCAACAAGTAAGTTAAATTTATAAATAAAAAAGTCACCTTTTTTAAACATAAAGAAAGTAATTTTATGTGCAACTAAAAGTTTATATTTACATTATAGTTTTTTTTTTTTTTTAAACTTGTCTTATTTAAACATAGTGCTTTCTTAATTTTAATTAATATGTATATTGTATTTCTTTCTGCTCCAGATACTCAGTTCACTAAAGCCTGATGGTGCACTCATTGCATCTATGTTTGGTGGTGAGACACTTTTTGAGCTTAGGTCATGTTTACAATTAGCTGAAATAGAAAGAGAAGGGGTAATTTTTTTGTAATCTTCTAATTTATATTAAAAGTAAATACTAGTGATAAAATGTATTGCTGCAGCTTTGAATATACCTGCCAATGGAATATATAAAGTAATCATTATAATAAAATACTTTTTTCATCAGTTTATTCAGTATTGATATATATATATATATAAATGCCAAATCTGAATAAATAAAAAATGTGATTGATATACTATGAAACATTTTATAAAATTTTTGTTTATAGTCATGGTGATATAAGTACTAAAAATAAAAAGTTTTCTTTAATGTTTTTTGATAATTTTTTTAAACTTGAAATAATTTTAACAAATTATATGCAGTAGTACCTCCTGTAAGGGACATCTTTGTTTAAAGGATAATTCTGTTGGTCCTGGTCCCTTTAAATAGGGGGCCCACCAGCGGCCGAGCGGTAAAGTCACTGAACACTAGTAATTCGGTCCTAGGTTCGAATCCAGCGAACGGGCTGGCTGCATGGGTGGTTTTGCGGTTTTCCCCATGTGTAACGTGTATATGAGCCAGTTTCCCTTAGAAAGTCCTCCATGAAGGCATCCCTCCCTTTAGGCAAATAGCCCTAGTGTGCTTTGCCATAATTAAATACACCACCCTTTAAATAGGAACCTCAATGTATTTATTGCTTATTGACAGACACTGAAAAAGAATTTCATAATGTAAGATAGAGTTAAAGAAATAATTAAAAATGGAAATTTTTTTTTATTAGTGGTCTTTTGACGTTTCAAAGGCAAGTTTACACTTGGTGAAAGATAGTTTTGTGACAATGAAATTACGAAGTGAAAAGTTAATCCCTCTTTTTTGAAAACTGCTTTTCAGTAGGGAAAAAGAGAAAAATATATTGGGAAAAAGCAAGTTGTGGTGTTATCAAAAGGATATTTCACATTCATAAAATTCAAAGACCAGTTATTCTTACTATAATTCATGGAGGAATAAAAATTTTAGCAAGTTGCAAGCCAATCCAAGACAGGGACCAGTGTAAAAGAAATGGTGGTGAGATGACTGGATCACCAATGATAGGGTGAGTGATGTGAATAGAGTGAAAACTTTTATCATTGTTAATTCTTCTAAATTGTTAGAAATTATAATTAATTATAATTAATTAGAAATTATAATTGTTAGTTCTTTCTAAAACTAGGAAGCTAAAGAAGTTTAGTTTTGTATTTGTGAGTTATCTAGTATGGCTTCAAAGAGGAAACATTAACATTAAAATAAAAATTTGGTGTACTTGATATATGTAGCAGAAACTGAAAAACTTAGTTGAGAGATTTAGGGAAGAAATTTAGAATAAGTAAACACCAATTAGGTCATGTCCTAAAGGACAGAAAAGTTTTATGGATTGCTAATTCAAATGAACATTCCAAGACTGTAAAATTTAGAAAAAGGGAAGCATGTGAAATTGATGCAGTAGTTTTCAGCTATTCTAATTCAATTAGATGGTAAAACTAGAAACTTAATAGTAAAATACATTAAAAAAGATGGAATCTAAACTTTTTAATATTTAAATTGTGACACTGAAGAAGACTATACAAATTATGTGTGTGAAGTATTGTAGATTTAGTTAAGACAGGTGAACGATCAAATTTTTCAATGTCTAGCACCAATCAGTGATATGTAAGAGGAGTTTAAGTGTTAATCAAATGCATTTTTTTTTTTTTCCTTTCGTATGAGACTTCTGAAATTTCATTGTCTTGTGGTGAAATTGAAATCGCATTGTCTATTAGTGTGGCGCTTCATGTTTGCTGATAGACATTTATCCTCAGCTCACAAACAAAGAGGTGCAAAATCTTTAATTTCAGAGGTATTAGTCTAGCACACCCCAAAATAATTGTGTTTGATGAAAATTACAATACTGTTGAGTGTTGTGTATCCCAGAAGTTGCTAAAAAAATGACAAATTTTATGACAGAAAAGGTGGCCAGAGACTATGCATAATCATCATTACTTTACTGTTACTTAACTTGGAAGTCGTTTACTAAGTTTAGAGCAAATGATATCTGCAAAAATTGGCAGAATGCACTTCCATGAGAGTGAGATACAAGGTGGATTATTTCAGCAAGTATTCCATTGCTACTATTTTCAGAAACTGGAATGGTCTACCCTCGTCAGTGATGACTCTTGCTTTTGTTTTGAAAGCAGTGATGAACAGAGATATTCTGAAGACTATATGACAAGTGCCATCAATAAGTCTGGACAAGAGAATATCATACCAATAAGCTCCTGAAATAAAAGTATGAGATAGTATAAAGTATGGCATGCAGACTCCTTTTGGTTTCCTTCCTCATATGCTGGAGGATCAACATTAGGGAGCTTTTAGTATGTAGTATGACCATTCCTGCAAAGTATTCCAGGAGTTATGCTTCTATATAACACTGCTAGACTGCATGTTGCTTATACTATTGTCTGCACGGATTTTGTGTACTGCCATAGCTTACTGATTCTCCAAACTTGTCTTGCACTGAACACATTTGGGAAATCTCAGATAGTAATTAATAACCTCATTAATAGCTTGCCAAAGTGTCTAATTTTACATGTTTCCAAGTAAAATTGAAATAATTTGAATTTTAAAGTCTAAGCTTTCAAATCCTTTCTCATTCTGGCTATTCATAAAAATAGTCATCACTGGCAAATAATCGTACTATTCTTATTTAATACAGAAACATTTGAATACATAGGAAATCTAAGAGAATTACATATGCATGTTTATTGCACCATTATTTAACTATGCTACTCTTATGAAAGGTATTTTGAAAAGAAGGAGCATATTATTTTATTTCCTTGAAATATGTTTATTGCAATAAAAAGAAATATTATATACAGTAGAAAGGGTGCTTCCGGACTCTTCGGGACTTCAGCGATTCTGGATTAGGGATTTTTCCGGATTATAGATCATCAGTTTAAATCTGGTAAGATGGCATGCAGAAATTATACAGTTAAAAATATGAAACCGTAATATATGAAATAAAGAGCAATTATGATCTAAAGGGTATCAAATTTTACAAAAAAAAGCCTTATATTTATTTGTTTACTTTATTAAATATTTCTTTCAACGTGCGCATGCGTAAAGCATACATTATGCGCGCACGTAATGTGTGTGCATTCTTTACGCGCATGCGTAAAGTTTGTGGGTTTGAGGTCTGGATTATAGATCATTACGGATGATGGACGTCCGGATTACGGACTTTGTACTGTAGTACTATATGGTAAGAAAAAGAATATGTTTTTATGCTTATTTACAAGTTCAGTGTGTTGTTTAAATGTAGCTAGAATCTGTTGAAGTGTGTAGATGACACTGTGGTGTGCTGTTTGTTCTGTGAGCTCAAACTCTTGTCAATTTCATTTTTCAGGGATTCATCCAAATACCATGCACAGGCTGCCTTCATTGCCAGCTTATTAGAAATTTGCAAGGAATTGTAGCAGAAATGCATTTAACAACTGTTTTGCAGTTAGAATGTTTATGGCAAAAACTATCACTTTGATGTGTGTCAACACTTATGCAAAAATGCACACATAAAATTTCTAATTTAGCAAACACACTTTTTCTCTATCAGATGATATATGGTACATTATTCATTATGTAGCAAGACAAGTTTCATGTACCAATACATTGAATACAGAAAAGTTGTGCAGCGTTAGTTTTCAAAGAATAAGAATAAATTTCTGTAGATTAAAATGTAAATTAATTTCCTTTGGATTTTTGTGTGAAGTTGCATCCCTTTCTTTATCTGGCATACTGTTTCATTATATTAGACATAAATCTAAATTGTATGAAATCATTGATTTTGTATTAATAAATAACAGTTTTGTTTCATTTAAATATAAAGCACTAAAATAGTTCAATATTAAATGACATATGAAAATTAAAAGTTATGCAATATTTAATTAACAATTTTAGGAAATAAGTTGTAATGAAAGCTAAAAGAATTTATTATGAGGAAATAATGGTTCCCTGTAGAAATTGGTATAAATGGTACTAAGTTGCCAATGCTGCTGTAATATAACAAGCAACAGACCATATAAAGTCTTACCTTGATATATGTCCACACTAAAATACAATATGTTCGGATACAGGGGAAAAATTTTAGGGGTATACAATATTTGGCATACAACTCAAGTTTGATGAATCATGACTGCATGCACTACATTTGTTCACCTCTCTCAAGACAATGTTATAACTGCCTCTGAGCATCAGTTGCTCATGAGAAGTTCAGTAAATAACTTGCACTCTGAATTTCCAAGTGATTTAGTGTTTTTCACATAAATCTTTTGGAAATTTATGAACAGTGAGGTTTAAGAAAGTTATTGAGAAGAGTCAAGTAACAAAAAATGTTATAAGGATCATCACAGAGATTGGAGGAAAAAAAGATTTTTAAAACGTATGATGATGGCATGTGTATTTTGGGCTTGTTTACTGCATACCATATGCTGAGTGTGATGATGTCTGCAATTGTGAAAAACAAAGGAGTTAACATTACAAAGGGGGTGAAATCAATGCTCTTGGGAAGTTCAGTAAATAACTTGCACTCTGAATTTCCAAGTAATTTAGTGTTTTTCACGTAAACCTTTTGGAAATTTATGAACATTGAGGTTTAAGAAAGTTATTGAGAAGAGTCAAGCAACAAAAAATGCAACAAAAGGCTCATCACAGAGATTGGGAGGAAAAAAAAGATTTTTAAAAATTATGATGATGGTATGTGTATCTAGGGCTTGTTTACTGCGTTCCGTATGCTGAGTGTGATGGTGTCTGCAATTGCGAAAAACAAAGGAGTTAACATTACAAAGGGGGTGAAATCAATCACCAAACAAAGATCAGAGCATGTTGAAAAATTGATTTCTATTTGGATAGCAGAAAACATATGCTGTATCAGCTGCAGGGCTTCATTTATGTACAGAATATATTGCACTCATTGCATTTGTATTTTAGTATTAAAAAGGGCTATAATGATCACATTAAGATTTTTTAAAAGAAGAGATTAATTATTTTCTCTCTATTTCTTATTTAAAAAGTTGCCATACATTCACGGATCTGGAGTATATTAATGATGTATACTATGAGGTACCACTGTAATTTCATTTAAGTAGATTTTATATTAATTTTTACTGTTAATGTACTAGTATGATAGATGGGTGAAATGTTTATGCATTGTACTATATTTTATTAATTAAAAATGCTTTAAAAGTATATTAAAATCAAGATCTTAAATCTTTTTAATTCATTCTCTGCTCTTTCTATTATTTTAAGTGGGTAGTTGAATATGTGTGATATCTTATCTGAGCAACAGTCTAATGGTACTAAACACAGAGGTGTTTGTGCTCCGGGGATTTTGAACGATACTCGGAAATTCCGGGAATTGTCGTTCAAAAGGAAGTAGGAATAATAATGAATTATTTATTTTGATCTGGGTAATTTTGTTTGCTTTGAAAGCAGAAAACGCAAGGTCAGTGTGTGTGTGGTGAAAACTTTTCCTTTCTTTCTCCAAAGGCAGTGATAATGTGCGAAAAGGGGGAAAAAACTTCTTTTTTGTTCTTTACTTATTGCGAGTTATGACTCATTTCCCCGGTTCTCGGACATTCTCTTCTGGATTCTTTTCGGCAAATAGGCGCGGCAGAGAAAAAAGGGAGAGACTTCGTTCGACCAGATGTGCGAACACGTGACTCTGGGTTCAAAGGTCTTATCTCTCCTGGCGTGGCACCAATAAGTAGAGAAGGGGGATTTTTCGCCGTATTAGCTATTTGTCATTGATCGCTTCTCAACTTTTTTTTTTCTCCGCTGTGTAAAATTTTCGTTTCATTTATTGATGCACATGTAAATTTTTCGTTTAGTTTATTGAAATATTTTTTTATTTATGTACGCAAGAGAATTTCACTATGAAATTTCTCGATATAAATAGTGATATTATACAATTAGAAGAAGGTGTTCGGAATGCATTTAGGTGGAATTGGATTGAACTGAGAGATGGTAATGGGGATACCATCAGCACATGGTGCAAGAAAATAAATGTTGCTAGACAAGCATATTGTGTTTTTTGTAACTCACTGCTGAAGTATGGTGGGGAAGGATTCAAGTCTTTCACAAATCATTCTAAAACTGTGACGCACATAAAATATTCAAAGTGCATTAGACATTCAATGACTTTAAGTAATTATGCTAATTCAAAAATACTGATGACTTACTGGAACTGATGCTCGGCCATTGCATATAGTGACAAGAAAAGCACGCCAAGAGGTATTAATAACTTCATTTATAGCCGAGAATTCTCTTTCTTTCAATGTAGCTCCCAATTTAATGAACTCTGCAAACAGTTGAGCCGCGATCAACGGCACTAAACTCGTTGGAAATGTCCAGGACTACTGCATGTATAAGATGAAAAATTGGGCTCGCAAAAACTTTAAGGAAAATATCATTAAACTTTAAAGAGACTCCATTTTCTCTAAATTGAAATGAAAGTACTAGCAATGCTCAAGAAAGTATACTGGCAATATTGGTGCAGTTTTATGACAACAATCAAAATGAAGTTGTAGTTCATCATTTTGGCATCTCTAAAGATGGAATCTTGCAATCAGAAGCTGTTTTTTTAAGCAGTTTTAATACTATTGAAGATAATAATATTCCATGGGCAAACTTATAGTGATTAATGGACCGTGTAACACAATGCGTGAAAAAAAAGGTGTTAAAACCAGACTAACGATCAAACAAAGCACCCCACTTATTAGTATTGATGGTGACACATGTCACACAGCTAAAACTGTGCAAAAAAATTTGCTTCATGTTTTGATAGATACTTAGAAGATTGTTTGATGACATCTATTTTGATAGAAAAGCTGCAGTAAAAGAGAAAAATTTTCAAATTTGTGAATCCCTTGCCATAAAAAACTTAAGAGACCAGACCATAGGTGGGCGTACATTTTATGTGTTAGAAAGAATCAAAGATCTGTGGGATGCTCTTATTGCATTTTATTTTCACTACTTGGATAAAACTTATAAAGAGGATTATTTTTTTTAAAGATTTTTAAAGATAAATTAAATTTTTTTTAAAGAATTAATTGGTATTTTAAAATATTACATAAATGTATAGTTTATATGTTTTGAAATTTATGGTTATTAATTTGCAAAAAAAGTAATTCATTGAACTTTTATAATTAGGTCATTCAATACTTCATAATTGTAATTGTTCATTTCTTCCCCCCCCTTCTCGAAACTCCAAAATGTCGGTAGTAAGTCCGTAAAAGTTTCAGGGGATTTTTTGGGGTCCCACAAACACCCTTGTAAACATAACGAGGTTTTTTGCATATGAGATTAAAATGTACATGAAAACAATATATGTAATTAATCCATTGACTATGGAATTCTTTCCTGTGAAATCTGAATTGAAGCATAGTAAATAATGCTTATTCAGTTGAAGGCGGTCTTGTCATTTGTAATTTTAACGACACAGTTTTCCCGTTTTATGTCCAGTAGTTAGCATAACCATCTTTTGTATTTGGTAAATGAACTTTAATACAAAAATCTTTATTAAAAAATAATCTAAGATTTAAAGAAAAATAATTTTAAATTGTTTAATTTCTGCACTAAAAGTGAAATTTTTATTGATTGTAGGGTTTCGCACCTCATATTTCACCATTTGCAAGGCTTAATGATGTTGGGGATTTACTTACAAGGGCAGGTTATTCAGGGCTTACTATAGTAAGATATTTTCCTACATGTAAATTTTTGCATGGTTAAAGATCTTTGATTTTATATTTTGAAATTTAATTTTTTTTATGTAATTTTGATTTTTTTTCCCCCCATAACGGATACTGATGAGATAAAAATAAACTACCCAACAATGTTTGAATTATTAGATGATTTAAGAGGTAATTACAATTTAACTTTTTTATGAATTTTTATTCTCTTATTTAATAATGATACTGTTTTTAGCATTATGAATTAGTAATGCAAGATAGTTTCTTTTTAAATTGAACCAGGAATGTCTGAAAGTAATGTGGCTTGGAATCGGAAACTTCACATAAATCGAGATTCTTTGCTTGCTGCTGCAGCACTTTATATGGGTATGTATTAAGCTATTTTAAGCAGTCAATATCCATGTTTTGCCTTGATTACTATATATAACTGTTTACGTTATAAAATTTATGCCATTTTCTATGTTTTTTTAAAATTATATGTTGTTTTATTTCCTATTTTTGAAGCTTGCATTATTTGTGTTTTTGAAGCTAATTCAAAAATATGAAAAATACATTTTTATATATCTTTTAATTATTTGACTATCACTCAGAAGACATGATAGTTTTAAACAGGCCTCATCAGTTCATATAAAGGAAACAACTATACTGACTAATTATGAAAGATTTATTATTTTGTTTGATCAAATTTCATAATAATTTAAGATTCATGTCATATGTTGTTGAATATCTTTCCAAATACTTTTGTAAATGCATTGATTTTTGCATCTACAAATTTAAAAACTGTAATCAGAAGTTAGTTATGTTCATTTTACCTCATCGGTAGGCATAATATGGTTTGAAGTTAAATTTGTACTTGATGAAATCAGTAATTTGATTTTACTTGTTTTATCTGTGACTGGTTTTATCTATTCCATAACTTTGTATTACATCTTGGAGTTGAAAGGAATTTTCAGTACTGATTGTCCATACCCCACTGGAAAGTCATGAAAAAGTATTCATGAGGCAGTGCAGAAAAATGTCACCAAAATAGTTATATTGCAACCAACAAGTTCACCAGAAGGTATTTAATGTGGCAACCAAAATATGCCCAGCACATGCTTGTTTTTGCCAGTGCACAGTGCCAAAATTGTATGGATGCCAAGTTTGTAAAGTTCTTTCTCGCTAAAGTTTGTTCTCTGATATTTTTAGGTGAAATCAGATCACTGTATACATGGAAAGAATAACAATCTGCAAATGCTTTTGAAAGTCATCAATGAGTTTACTGTTTTTTGATGGTAGTGCACGTGATCAGAAAATGCTAAATTTTCTGTGATTTTTAATTTATAACAATTTTATATGTATACAATGTCATACTATTTTTCTACTTCTTTGTATATTCTTACTTTATTTTTAATCATTTGAACTGTGGAAAATGAAGGACATGTGTTGGACCTGTTGCCTTTTATACCAATAAAACCAACCAACCATTCATATGCTCAGTAAGACCTTTCTTAGTTAGTCAGTATAACGATCACCCTTATGCAGGGTGTTCAGAATCTATGGTGTTATCTGAATCTGGGTAATGTGTTATGTGAGAATCAAAATATTCAGTGAGTTTTTGAACCCTGAAGGTCTGTTATTTAAATAGGTTTAAAGCGAAACAAATCATTAACTTTATGTAAACATTCGATTTTGATCAAAATTTCTTTGGTAGAACTATGAAGACTTAAAAAAAAAATTCCCGTGTTTTGATTTATTTTACTTAATTTCAATATACAGAATAAATGTGGCACATGTCTGTATCATACGCAACAAAATATACTGTTAACTTTTATTTAAAAAACTTATTTTCTGTATTTCTAACATGGAAAACTTGGTAAAAATTTTCATCTTCACCATGTTTAATTTTTTCACTTATGTTTCTTTTACATAATTTTAAAGTTTCATATTTTGTTTATCATATGTATTTCAGAGAATTTTGGAAATGCAGATGGAACAGTTCCAGCTACTTTTCAAATAATATACCTTTTGGGATGGAAGCCAGATAAATCGCAAGTAAGATAGCATACAGGCAAAAAAAAAAAAAAAAAAAGAGTTTTAAACATCACAACTGTATGATGAGTGTTACATGCTATTAATGTGTAATTTCCTTTCATTTTAGCCAAAACCTGCCAAGCGAGGTTCTGGGAAAATATCTATGAAAACTATCTCAAATATAGATACAAAAGAAATTTGAAGTATGAAGTATTTGTATAGATAGTTATTTTTTTTTAAACTAATCATTTAGAAATAAAATGTTAAAGATATTTCTGCAGTCTTTTTGTGTAGTTATTTTATTACTTATGCTCACTTAATGGTATTAAATGGCTTTGCTTCATGTTGGCTAGAATAATACAAAGATATTTTCGCAAATTAATGTTTGAAAATGTGTGATGTAATTTTTACTTATGCATCTGCTAGACATATATTAATTAAGATTAAACTTTTTTAAATCAACAAAATAAGGGAAGTAATCATACTGCATATCATTTATGCAGTAATTATTTGATTATATTTTTTATTATGTAAGTACTAAATAATTCATGAATGTAAGTTGGAATTAATATTTGCTCACGATTCATGAATGACAAATACTTTCCAGGTACTTATTTTATACTTTTAGTCATGTGTATATATATATATATATATATATATTATGTATATATATATATATATATATATATACTATCGCGAATTTTAGGCTGAAATTTGTGACAAACATGCTACTAAGAAGTCAATCTCAGCACCGAAGCTTCAGTCTGATAATTTCCCTCTGGCGCCTGTGAAGAATGTAAGTATTTTTTCATCGAAATCCTGTTCAGATGCTTTAAATCGAGCAATTCCAGATTTCAAGATGGGCAGAAATTTTTAACTACTTGTCTGCAAATTTATTGAATTTGTATAAAAATGGAAGAAGATCAAATCCACCCTAAAAAAAGTTCTACTCGCTCTTGGAATCGTTGAGCAACTGATCTAAATGAACCTGTAATTCTGCTGTTTCACTGTAAGATTAATTCTAATTTTTACTAATTAGTGCTTCTGGGCTTCACAAAATGGTGAATTTACACATTATGGACTTTCACTTGCTACAAATGGATTTATCTCTTACACCTGTTATGTTTCAGGCTCCCCCTCTCAGCCAACCTTTTCCTTTGAATTATTTCATCCGGACATTCTAAGTCATGTGTCTTTTGGCTTTACTTATCAACGAACCAGATAAGTCATGTGCCCTTACCTACACAGACTAGACTAGAAAATACACTGCTGGCCATTAAAATTGCAACACCGAGAAGGTATGATCTGAGGAACGTCAAAATCACATTAAAGGGAGAAGAGGTTGGGTTATGCAAATTATTAGTATTTCAGCACATTTAGACGACGGAGGGAGAAATGACATTTGAAGCATTGCATAAAAGAAGTTGTCTAGAGGATTTCTCATTTGGAAAGTGCTTTGTAAGGTCGGAGTTTGCTCGGAATATCGTGTTATGCCTCAAATAAGAATAAATACTTACCATGTGTCAGAATTCGATAGAGGCAGAATTGTTTCCCTTCAAGTGTGGATTATCGTTCAACGATATCGCCCGTCACACTGGTCGACATCCAACCACTGTCATGCGAATACTGAATCAGTGGGTTGCTGAGGGTCATACTGAACAGCATGCAAGATCTCAACATCCAAGAGGACAAACATATTTTGAGGTCAGCCCTGCAGAACCGTACAACTACATCACGGACCATTAGTCAGGAAATAGGCATGTGTGTAGCACGGCCAGAATCTCTTCATATGGGTGCATCAATATTTGCATGAACTATCAGCAGGATGACCATTATTTCGGCTTCCCTTGACAATGCAGCATAACGAGAGACGATGATTCTGGTGCCGAGTGACAAAGCTGGATATAGGAGTGGCACAATGTCATCTTTTCAGAGAAGTCCCAGTTTAGTGTGCAGTATTCTGATGGCTGTATATGTGTCTGGAGGCTCCGAGGAGACCACACGTCATCTACTTGCATTCGATATCGGCATAGGGGCTCTGCACCTGGTGTGATGGTTTGGGCAGCCATTGGGTACATGGCATACACATCTTTAGTTCAGATCGATGGTAATTTGAACACAAATTGGTACATTTCTGACATCTTGCGTTCAGTAGTTGTGACGTATCCTCAAGGCCTGCCAAACGCCATCTTCCAACCAGATAATGCAAGACCACATGTTGCACGTCTTGTTCTGACTTTCCTCGATACACAGGATATTCGATTGCTGCCCTGGTCTCTAGATATGTCACTCGTTGAAAACATCTGGCCATTGGTTGCTGAGAGACTGACCAGCCACCCTTCTCCAGCTATTACGGCTGATGAAGTGTGGTATCGACTTGAAGCAGCATGGAATGAGTTGACCATTTCTTCCATCCAAGCCCAGTTCGTCTCCATGCCTAACTGGGTAAGGGCCATTTTAGCTGCCAAGGATGGCAGATGTTTCTACTAATTTCACACCCCCTGTAAACCCGCAAACTGCATATAAATTTAATCATTTTGACTTCAAGCCATACTGTTTTACGTACATTAAAAGTATCTTTTTTTGTACGTGCTTTCCTTCATGGTATTGCTTACAAATTTAATCATTTTGTCTTCAAGCCATACTGTTTTACGTACATTAAGTATCTTTTTTTGTACTTGCTTTCCTTCATGGTGTTCCAATTTTAATGGTGAGCAATGTATTTCTCAGACGTCGGACCATTGTTTTGACCTCCAACTTTAAGAGTTGTCATTAGGCAAGAGGAAGCCATGAATTCATTGTGTTTGTACCACATTCTGACCCTGTCATCTGCATAATCGTGCAGGAAATGAGATTCAGCAGACTAAGCAATTTTTTTTTTTCTTTCTAATCATCAGAAGTCCAGTTTTGGTTTCCTCGGATCCACATCAATCATGATTTCCTATTTATCAAGGATCCCATGGATATCCTTAATAGTCCAGTGCTTTTAAACCCCTTTCATTGCTAAAAAGTAAGTCCCTCATGATGTGTATTCAGCTCTAGTTTGTGATGCACTTGAACTACACTGAGCGGTAATTTATTGTATTGTTGCCATTCTACAGCTGTGGATGTTTGTGCCAACCACTTTTCACTTCTTTCATTCATCAGCATTTTTCTAAAATTTTAGCCACTCTGTCTATATATTAATGTGCCAATATTATGTGCAAACTTTACTTTAATAAAATGGTAGGCAAAGTAATTCAAAGTCCAAGATCTGGAATCCGTGGGACTTCGGCATTCTTAATTTTAGATCATTAGCTTAAATCTAGTAAGATAACATGTAGAAATTATAAAAAAAATATTATTCATTATTATTTCTTTACGAAGAAGTATTTTGCATGAAGTAGATTTTTCTGAATGATAACCATGTAAAATTAAAATGAAACTTGAAGCCAAAGTGGCAATATTTTCTGGATTTAAAACCATACTATCAATATTCATTGCTCTATTAATGACTGATGCATTGTCATTGCAATGTATATATCATCCTCATTTAGCATTTCTTCTGATATTCCACTAATAAGAAAATTTCACTTTTCTTGTAATATTCTAAAAACATTCAGATTTATGGCTTTCATCATCATTAAATTCAATAGCTAGCTATAAATTAAGCGAAGCATTTTTAAAAATCCTCTCATGATTTATAATAACATCATATTTTATATTACATTCCTAGAATTCTTGGAAAGTATAACTTTAGCTTCAGTTTTTAAAAAATTACTTTATGTCTGCATTTTAGCGCATGTAAATTAAATCTATTTGCTGATTGACAGATGCATAGAACCATGGAAAAAATTAAATAGTGATAATACTTTCTAACCTGTAACTTTGACAAGATTAATAATAAATGAAAGAAAGTAATAAAAGCTGTTTCAGATCAGAAAGTTAACAGAAAAGCACAATTTTCTGTGCTAACTGAGGTTTCTCGAAATCTAATTCCCATTTTGTTGGTTGCTGTAACAAACAAACAAACAAAAAAAAAAAAAAAAAAAAGTATGAGCAACATTCCACTCCAAATAAATAAGTTTGGGGGCTTATTATTCAGATCATCAGATAGAAAAATGCTAATCCTCCAACTACTCAAGGGCTGAAAGTGTGGTTGTGGCTATCAATCAATGTATTGTTATTGGCCAAGGTGTGAACTTCCTAGCCAGCACGTGTTTGAAAGTGACTTAAAGTCAAGAGAAAAATTGCTTTTACAGTACAGTTGGATTTTCTTTATTATACTCTCCATTCCTAGACTTGGTAAGTGATATTTTTTGTTTTTGCTAATGGTTTAGATATTAGATCATTCCAGAAACTGGATACCCAGATTTCGGACTTAGGACTACATTATCTGCATTTTTGGAATAGCAAATATATGAGCTTCCATGTGTGTTATTGAGTATAATCATTCTTAGTTAATTTGTAGCTTATAATTAAAGGTTGTAATCATATTTTATGGAATTATTAAGACAACCATGACATAAATTATGATACATAAATATCTGTTTATCATAAATTTGTGAAAATCTTTACAGTAATCAAAACTTATATATCTTGAATAATGTTGATATATAAAGTGGCTGCAATGCTGACTTTTTTTTCTTTAGCCCCTAAGAAGATAGAACATTAAAATGCAAATACAAATCACTGACTTTGAACAATCTTTAAAACCCCCTCCTGGAATTTCTACTCCCCCCCAAAAAAAAACTACTATGTGTCATAATAAGTTAACTGGCAATTTATAAAAAAGTAAACCTTTTAAAAACTGCAATGTTTTTATTAACAGATAATTTGCAATAATCGCAAACAGAGAACTTTCTTTGAGAAAGATTTAGAAAATAATTTCAATATTTTCATTTATAAATGATAACTTTGTGATGGCATATGCAAAAAGGAGGGGGGATAGTTTTGTATCTTTCATTCTACTGGGCTGATTGACAAAACTAAAATTGCATTCTTCATGTCTCAAAAGTGAAACTTAAGATAGGTATTAGATTTATATATAGCATCATCCTAACATAGGTAGTTCGACACAAAATCAGACTTTTTCTGAAATAACATACCCAATTTTTTTACATATTTCGATTCTACGACTCAAATTATGCCTAAATATTAAATTTTGTAAAATTTGGTGCGGAATTTATGGAGAAATTCAAAAATTTACATTGGTTCTTTTTTTTCCAGTTTGCACCAAAAACAGTTCACTTGGTGAACTTTTTAATATATGGAAACCTACTTTCCTTTCCCTTTTTACATTGTGTGTGTGAGAAAAAAAAAGTTACATTGTTCTTTCTTTCAAATAATGTTCTTTATATTATATTTTTATGCTATTGTTTATTTTTTTCTTTTCCGAATTTTATTTTAATTGTTTAAGTTGCATGGTTTCTTTCAAATAACTATTTTAAAAATTTCTATTTACTCATTCAAACTGCATAGTTTAAATAAAAGGTGTATCATTTATTATTTTTTCAAATAGTTTTCTTTACTGTATTTTTTAGTCATAGTTATTATTTTAGGTAATTTTTAAATTTGACTTTTATTTTAATTGTTTGTGTTGCACTGCCTCTTCAGATAACTGTTTTAAAATTTTCTATTTATTCATTCGAACTGCGCATTTTAAATATATTTATTAGTATAAATTATTTATTATTCAATATATTTATTAATATAAATGTTTTCACTTTCTAGACACATTTTAACTAAAGCAAAGTGCATATATTTGAATTAAAGGATTTTTTGTTAAATGAGAAAGAAACCATTGCAACAGCGCTTATCCTATACCACCGAGTGACCCAATTTTATATCGGGTGTAAAGAAACTAAATCATATTATTTAGATAATAAGCCTAATAATTTCCATATTAAAGAAGATTATTTTATATAATCTACAACACGAGAGGAAATTACTGCTTAAAACAATTTTTTCTAAAAGGATGTAAAAATTGACATTTTTATATTAAAGGAATTTTTGTTAAATCAGAAAGAAACCACTGCAGCAGCGCTTATCCTATACCACTGAGTGACCCAATCTTACATCAGGTACAAACAATTTAAATTTTATTTAGATTTTTAAGCCTAATAATTTCCATATTAAAGAAGACTATTTTATATAATCTACAACACGAGAGGAAATTACTACTTAAAACATTCTTTCTAAAAGGATTAATGTAAAAATTGACATTTTTATATATTTTTTTCAAAGCTGGGACATGAACCAAACTTTCTGTTTGCTTAAAAACATTGTCAAAATAAACATCAAACGAACTTCCACAGTTTTAGACAATTCAAATGCAGCTGAAGTAAAGTAACAGACGATAACACGACCAAGGTAAATATTTACTCTTAAAAATGTTTTAAAAAATGTTAAAAATTTGAATAATATCATAAATAATTAAAAAAAACTTTTCATATAGTATTAATAAATATTTATTATGCATCATTTAGGGAAAAAATTTCAGGCTAAAATAGCTGTGGTAATTCACTGTAACAAAATCCATAAACCACATTTGGCGTTATTATCGCTCAAAAAAAGATGCCAAATTTCAAAATGCAAAAATATGTAAATTTGTGTATATCTTAGAAAATTTTGAATAAAAAACTAATTTTTTGCAAGTATGCTAAGAAATACACCTTCTTTAAGATGATGGTAAAAATTGTATAGGTTATAATTCAAAATTATTTTTGAAAACTTTTTAAAAATAAATAATAAAAAATGGGTGAATTTTATTTGGAATGAACCTAAATTTTGAAATGTGAAACGAAGAATAAACAGAGTTTAATAAAAAAAAAAAGAGATATTAATAAAAATATATACCAAATTCAATTAACATTGAAGAGCTAAATTTTGAGAGCTAATTTTTTAAAAACTACTCGTGCGATTTTTACAAAACTTGGCAGTCTGGCATAATTTAAGTCATAGAATCAAAATACGGAAAAAAATTGGTATGTTATTTCAGAAAAAGTCCGATTTTGTGTCAAAATACCTCTGTTATAATAATGCTATATATAAATCTAATATATATCCTAAGTCGCGCTTTCGAGACATGAAAAACGCAATTTGAATTTCGTCAATCGGTCCAGTAAAACGGGAGATATTGAACTGTCCCCCCTTTTTTTTGCACAGTGTACCTTTGTGTCCACACATCCAAATGTTCAAAATTTCCTATGGTTAAATGAAACCAAGAACAGTACTAAATGCTATATAACATATTCATGTAACAAACATTAAAAAAGTGAAATTGTAATTATATAATTACACAGTCAGATATTTCAAACAGTAAATAAAATTATAATAAAAAGCATAGCATGCTTGAAAGGAAGGAATAATATTTTAATACTCCAAAAAGATTAGAAATTAAAATCATGAAAAATACTGTATTATACTATACATTATATTGTACACAGTTTCAAAGGATGTCATAATTATAAATAATAATTAACATTAAAAAACATGCTTTCTCATCAAAGGATTGTATAAGCAATGAAAATGTCTACAGAATAACTCGTACACACGTCTTTTTAAGCAGGAAGACATACTGGACGAATTAAAATTGCTGTATTTCATCATAAAAGGGCTTGTTCTTGCTTTATGCATGCAAGGCAATTTATAAACACTTAGTTTTTTTTTTTTTTAATTTATAAAAAATACTTTAGGATATTATAGATATTGAATCAGTGGGTATGTGCACATGATGGTAATTTCATTAGGTAAACTGAACAGCTAATAATATCAAATAGTTTATATTCCTACTTATGATTTCTTTATTATATATTTATTATAAAGAAATTATAATATATACAAGATTTGATTATATATATATATACAAGAACCCTTCTAATACTGAACTCACAAAACTTTTAATTATGAATGTTTCTGTAAGTAGGTTGAACAGTAGATATATAATCATGGAAAACACTGTCAAATCTTCTATTCATAGACACTCACTAGGACTAAGGGCTTTGTTCATTATTGGGAAATATCCATTAAGTGGGAGTACATCGGTCTTCTATTTCGAGTGTCTATGTTTCAGGAACTGTCTGTTAATAAGGTATATCTTCATAAGTGGAGTGTTCATTGTTCAACTGTTTGTGATTATTGCATATTAGAAGTTTAATGTTTGTGATTATTATTAATAAATATATTATTATTGCATATTAAGAAAACATGCCAATTTTAAAATTAGGCCCAATTAAACTTTAGAATATTGTTCTTCAAAAAATAAAGACACCACATCTGATTGTCTCAATTTTCATAGCGCTTTTTAAAATATTAACATCAATATGAGATTCAGTTTTGCCTAATTTTAAGCATTATAACATTATTTATTCTTTCCATACATTATGCTAGTCTCACTCTCTTTTCAAGTACATATTTCCCAGCCATATTAAATAGAAGTTACATATTTTATTTTGTAAGATAGCCATTATCATGAAAAAATATTGCATGTGAAAGCAAATATATCTAAAAATATTTTTGCTCACAAAATAAATAATGAATTTATTTTAAACACACATGATAAAATTTTTGTTAGTTAATTTACTACATTTCATTAATAAATGCTTAAATATTCTCTTTTTCGTCAGAATCTTCCTCTTCTTCATCATCTCCATCATCATCCTCTTCATTATCATCTGTAGAACTATCATCATCATCTATATCATCATTATAATCATTGCCATAATACCCTCCTGAAAAATAAATATGTAGATGAGATGTTTTGAGCAGGATAAAACATGGTTTTATTTAAGATAATAAAGTATTTGTTCATCAACACGAATTGAATGTTAGATTACATTAAGGATACTTTCTGCAATTTTTGGGAACATGTACATACAACAGTGTTACTACATAAAATTGAAAGAAAAACAAATAACTTTGCAAGACTGCAAAATCAGCCAATCCCTTCTGCAATTAGAGATGGGTTCTATACAAAACGAAATGTCTATTATTTTTAATTCTCCCACTCAGCATTTTATTCGGATACATTTAGAAGAAGTGAATACACTACATGCTGCTTTCAGTTCTCTCTCAAAAATGTATCCTATTCTGTATACATGCAAATAACTTTGGCAATACTGAGAATTATTTTATTAACAGAACTGACATATTCATTCTTTATTACCAAAGAAATTAAAACATAAATTTAAAAAAATTATATAGCTATTTCAAATAGCTTTTCAGCTCTCTCTCATCATTTGATAACAATATTACAAATGTGTTGATCATTTTGTTTCTGCACAGATTTCAAGAATTATATTTCATGAGGCAAGTAATCAAGTTTTCATTCAAACTGAATGAGTTTTCATGTACAATGTTTTTCAGTTTCAAGCCACGTTTTTTATTCTGAATGATAAAGGATAAAGGAATACATCTATTCTAGTTTTTATTTATTGTATTAGGTTATTTAATTATGGCAAGGTATGCTAGGGCCATTTATCTACCAAGGAAGATCCAACAACTCAGAATTCTGAATATTTTTAGAGGAGATGGAAATCTCATTTTTTAATCTCCTCATTTAAAACATATAATCATATAAAAATTAGCTGTTAGAATGCTGTAGATAAGCAATTAAAAATATGATAATACAGCAATGATATCTGAATGAGAATTTTTAATTTTTTTTTTAATCTCTCCAAATGACTGTCTTGCAGTCAAAACATAAAATGCTATACGAATGACTGCTTCTTGGAATCAAAACGTAAAATGCTATACGAATAGGTATGCATAAAACCTTACTCTTTTGATGATCATAAATGAACTTGGCTCATATTCTAGTTACACATACATATTTCGGAAGAAAGAACTGCTTAATTTTGCAACTGCTGAAGGCAACTGCTCAATTTGCATGCATTTATTCATATACGAGTTCAATCGGTTTATTTTTTCTGAGTTACGGTAAGCAACATTTATTTAAGCCAGTGTTTGTGCACAATTTTTATTTCTCTATCAGTGTAAATTAATAAGAATTAATAGCAAAAAAGGAAATTTCATATTTGCAGAATGTGACAGAATTAAGTGAAGTTCTGAAAATCATCTTTTTGTAAGAAAATGCTTCATATTGCAGATTCTTGCCACGAAAACAATATATGTTTCATGTGATAATCAATGGATTAAATGTGTATAAATAAGATACAATGAAGAAATGATCAAAATAATATACTTTACATCAGTTACATGCACCAAAATGAATACAGTTATTGCAATGAGAATTATGAACATTGCAGTTTGTGTACCAAATGCAAATCATTTGCAGCAACCATATATTTCTATGTAAATACAATGTAATTTGCTTATAACAAGCCCTGATTTAATGAGAACACGGATTTAACAAGGAAATTGAGAATACCTGGTTGGTACAATGTTAAGTCCATGGGAGCATATATCTCTTTTAACAAGCAAATTCGATGAATCCTCACAAGTTGATGAAAATCCTCACAATTTGGCACCAGTGCCTTTCACGAAGTTAATTTGGCTGTATGGTGCGGCATCATAAGCACATTCATTCTCAGCCCATACCTCTTTGAAGAGGTCACTTACCAGGTATGAAACTGCTCCATCACAAGTGCTTGGTATACAACAATGTTGCAGAATTACACAATTCCAGAATTGCAGCAGCGAAATGCCATTAGCTCACACTGCATGGATGCAAGATGGTACACCTCCACACATCACCATATGTGTTTGGCAACTCAACATCACTTTGGACATACAGTCATCTTGAACTTTGCACTTTCGAGGCCAATGTATCCCTACCCCCCCCCAACTACACTCCGATGGATTTTTGGTTCTGCAGTTATCTGAAATCTAAGGTGTACACATCAAAGTCACAAGATTTGTCAGGTTTGAAAGATGCCATAAAATGTGAAGTTATATAGCTCCTGTGATATCATGTTCATCATTACTGTCAACAATCTCCTGCATGCAATGTGTTATGATCTACAAAGATAAGCATGTTGAAAACTTGCAATTCCAATAAATTTTCTTCTCTCTCCTCTCTTGTGTTGTCAATGGTTCTTTACAATGCTCATCTTTGCAAATGTTTTACATCAGTAATTTTCATCATATCTTTATTGTTCCAATGCCATTTGTGGTTTTACAATCCGATGAACAAAAGCGGGTGTTTCCATTCAAAAATTTCGAAAATTTTCCACAATACTATTTTTCTCCATAATCATAATTGTTTATCTATCTAATGTTTATAATCTTTATTGTTTTAAATCATTACAATGTCAAGCACATACCTTCAAATAACAATATCTAAAATTTCATTTTGATTAGTTGAGTGGATAAGCCACTGAAGGTTCATATTGGGAAAGTTTTTTTATGATCATCCTCTATATGTAACACTACTTGGCAATTTAGCATTATTCTGGCAAATCTCTGAAATTTAAAAATGATGCCAGATTTAATCAGAAAGCTTGTCTTTGGCTGTTGAAGCTTCTAGTTTAATAATTTTTTTCGAATCATCTATATGTATTTAGCAGCTAATTTTACCTGATATAGGGCTTTTTTTTTGGGGGGGGAAGAATGTACAGGCTTCATTTTTTTTTTAACTAATCCAAAGTACGTGATTGATGGGCCTTCCTTGTAAAGAAAGATGTAAATACAATAGTGGAGGATTTATACAAACTGAGTTTACACTGCACAGTAGAACATCTATGAAAACTTCATGCAATCAGCCTGTTCAAAAGTCAGATATTACGTAAACTATCAGTGTTTTGTGACTTTAACCATTTGGAAAATGTCAGCTTAGCAAACAGTTAAGTTTCTAGAATGTTTATTTATAATTATTCCCCTTGCTACTGATTTTTTAAACTTGAGATCTATTTAGAGACTATTAAAATGGTATGCGATAAATCTGATACAAGGTTGTTTATATTACATTTACACAGTGCAGGATTTACATATAAGCTACACAAGCTATAGCTTAGGGCTCCCGCTTTTTTGGGGGCCCCCTAAAAATTCCTCTAGGTATCCGAAAATCATATTTGGCACTAATATATATTATTTGGACTTACAAAGGGTCTCATACCTCAAATACTTTAGGACCTTATCAAGTCTAAATTTGGCATAGCATTTACAATGCCTTCAGAAACACCCTATCTCCACAGCATAATTTTTTTTGATAAATAAACATTAAAAAAGGCTGCAATTATGAATGGTCAATATCTGCATTTTTTTCTTCTGTTGTAAGCAGTATTTCAACTGGAAAAGGATAAAAATCATTTGCCACTGTTATAGTCAACATTTCATTTCTCATAATTATCAAAGAACAAAATTGGTGGAGGCATAGAAATAAAATAACAGCTTCAGGGGTTTCTATAACATTGATAAAAGAGCAATAATATATTTCGCCAACATTAAATTCGAAGATCTATTTCATAGCATGAACAGCTAAATGAAACATGTCAAAACAAAAGAGAGCCTTTAGTTTCAACCCAAATTTCAGCGAAAATTCAAATCAAAATTTTCAATTATGCAGCCCTTACAGTATGGAATTCTAGAATCTCTTACTTCTCTTTTCCAACCACCATTCCCTTATGAAGACTTTTGGCTTGAGAGATTTTAAGCGCACCCGTGCCGCAAAGACACGATAATCAACAAATGTCCATGCCTTATGCAAAATTTCAACTGAATTAATAGTAAGTGATGCATGCTATAGATATACGTGCTATGAAAATAAATAAGTAAAGAACTCAAAGGAAGAAAAGTCAGCAGATAGAAACTAATTTAACACACTTTTGAATGTCTAATTTGTATGCACTAAGAAGCATTAAAATAATCATTTTTATAATCTAGAGCTATTTAATTTTGTGTATCTTTACTTCAACAAAAAAAATTAAGGGTGCTTTTGCACTTATAGATATTATTATTTTAAACAAAACTCTTTGGTCATAATAAGAATTATAATAGTTACCTGAATAACCAGAGGCACCTTCTTCATCACTATATCCATTCTCTCCACCACCAGCAGTTTGTCGGCCATAGTCATGTTTACGAGCTGTAGAAATAATAAAAAAAGTCAAAAAAATACATTTTTGACCAATGTTAATTTATGAAACTTTGCATTCAACATTACAGTACAGCTTTAGGTAAATACATTAATACCAATTTAATCTGCACACAAAAATATGATTTAGATAGTCATGATAATTAACAATGATTTAAAATTAAATGCAAGAACAACAGTAAATGATCAAAACAACAAAGAATTGATTTCAAATAGTAATATCTGAAGAAAAAATTCCCATATTAAAATAAGAGGAAATAAATTAAAATCCAGGGAAGAAACATAAAACAAATTCTCTACTCAAAGCATCCTCTAGTTTTATAGAACTAAGATACAGTATAGAGAGCAGAAAATTTAATTTGTTACACATAAACAATGTTTTCTACGCTTACTTTTTGATCAATAAAGTGGACACTGCTTTATATGGTGAACATTTTTTTGAGTGAAATATTCATTTCAGTGCTCAAAATGTTAAACAGGATGTAATAGTCAGAGAATTTCTGTGCAAGGTGGGGGAGGGGGACATTACAACAGCACTTAACTACAGACTAATTAGTCATAGCATTAAACTTTCTAGGCTTCTTAACTTTACTGACATTACGCCAGGTGATTTTGGTAACAAAAATATTTGAAACCAATACAGTTAAATACCGAAAATCCGCGTTGCCTCTCAAAATTGAAACATTCAGTTTATAGGTTCCGGAAACCGCAACATTAAGTACGAAATATCGAAGAAAAAATTACTTACCGAATGATGATGTCATAATTACCGAATAATAATGTATCATAACGGAAATACTGAATTATTGATAAAAGTTTTTTCCTTCTAATCTGCATCGAGGTAAAAAAGCAGATGTTTCACTCAACTCTTCTTCAAGTTCACGATTCACGTTGTTGTATTGTCTGAGCTTTGTTATTTCACGAGATTATTTAGTGCTGCTTTTTTTTTTAATCTGGATATTTTGTGGATAAATTAAGAATATTTTTAATTTCAGCCCTTTTTAACACAATTACAGATAAAGAAACGCACTTATGATTTTACTGCTTGCAATGTTGAAAAACGTAAACACGTTGCATTGACAGTAATGCAAAAAGTGAAAATTCTGCAAAAGATGGAGACAGGTGCTACTCATCGGTTTAAGCAGAATCGTATGGAATTGCAATACGATTGTGTACAATATACGGAAAAATAAAGAAAAAGCCGTTGAAATTTTACAGCTACAGTGATTCTAACACCAGAAATCTTTGCACGAGGCGAAATCGGCAAACCTCGATGCTGTGTACATATAATAAAATGAATAATATATAATCAATTTATATATCTAATAATAATTTAATGCATATAATAAGTTATTGCAATAATTTAATTTAATGTATCTAATATGCTTTATTTATTTTGCAGTTTTAGTCTGAATATTATGATTTATCTTTTCTGTCCTGTGGTGGTGGTGGTGGTAGTGGTGGTAATTGAGTTAATGGCGCATAACCAGAAAGGTTATATGCGCCAAACACATGGTAGTTTATAAAAAGATGGATAAACTTTGTAAAACAACAATTAGCTAAATCATAAAATCTACATGAAATAATAAAATGGTGAACATTAAAAGGAGTAGGTATTAAAACTCAGCAAATGATATGTAACAAGCGATGAAACACATTAAAATTACACTATAATGAAAGCTAAATTAAATTAAAATAATATAAACCTGTTTCTTTCAGGTGTAGAAATGAATTATTATTGGCCTCTTTTCCGATTAACGGTCAAGAGGCAAGTCACACTTGTTAAAATGCTTTAGTCTTAGTCTGTTAAAATTCAGACACTCTTAAAAAATGACAAACAGATAAAATGCTATCACAGTAGGGATAAATTGGCTCACTCTCTGCTTTGAGAAGATAATTGTGCGTGATTCTGGAGTGGCCGATTCGAATACGAGTCAAGAGTACTTCTTCCCTTTGGTTTCGAGTACTTTCCCAAAGTTGCACTCTAGGCTTCACACTTCTTAGCTTATTATTTAATTGTGCATCTCAAATTTCTTGCCATTTATCTAAAATTTTCTGCTTGATGGTTTGGCTGATATCTCTGAGAGGAATGAGTTGACTAGATTCCTCGACAGCAGCTTTGGCTGTGATACCTGCCAACTCATTACCTTTTATTCCTACGTGTCCAGGAATCCAGCAGTAAAGAATTTCAAATCCACGATTACTTGGGATTTTATTCAACTTTAAAATTTCAACTATAAGCAGATTCTGTGTGTCAGAGAATGTTTCTAAAGCCTTCAGAACACTGAATGAGTCAGAGTCGATAATAAACCTTCTCCGGTAACGTCTAGATATAGATAAAAGGGCATGATAAATTGCAGTCAGTTCAGATGTCAGGACTGAGCAATTAAGATTAAGTCGTTTTCCCACCATATGATTTTCAATCACGAATGACATTCCAACATGACCGATTGCTTTCGACCCACCCATCTGTATATACAGGACTATAATTAATGTAAATTTATCTATTGAGAAAAGTTATATGATATATGACAGTTATAGATATATGATCTCATTAGTACTTTTGTTAACCAAATGGACGAAAATATCAAGATTTGTACATTTTCCCAAGGTGGTATTTCAAAATGCTTCACTGGCTGGATGTTTAAGTCGGACATGGAATATTTCTCAATTAATGAACGAACTCGTAAAGAGAAGGTAGGAATACAGGAGGGTTGTGCTTCAAATAAGAGGTCACTGTCATCAAGCAGAATTTTTACAAGGATGGTTCAGTTGTGATCAGATAGTGAAATAATAATGAAGGGACAACTGCTCGCGTCTTAGCTGGAGTGGTGGTTCATAACAGTCAACATAAAGGCTTTGAACTGGAGATGTTCTGAAGGCTCCAGAACAAATCCGCAAGGCCTGGTGGTGCACAGGATCTAGCTTCCGTAAAGTGGAAGCCCGTGCTGAGCCATAGTCCAGTCTAGAGCGTACAAGAGCTCTATAAATGTGAAGCATTGATTCCCGCTCGGCACCCCAGGAGGTGTTCGCCAAGACTTTTAAAATATTCAGTGTTTTGAAAAACTTCTTCCTCAAGTAAAGGATATGGCGAATGAAGGTCAACTTTCGGTCAAACATCACTTTCACTTCTAAAAACTTGACTTCTGGTACGACAGAAATCAAAGAATCTTGAAAGTGAAGCTCCGTCTCGAGATGCATATTTTGCTTTTGTCAAAAGTGCATGCAGACAGTCTTTTGCTTTGAAAAGATATACCCGTGTTTTTCTGAACATTTCTCAATCCTGCTAAGAGCAATCTGTAACTGTCTCTCGACAACTTATTTGGAGGTCATCCACATATAATGACCCTGACACAGTAGGGGGGAGTTCCTTTAAAATAGTATTTATTTTTAAACTAAATAAAGTAACACTTAGAACGCAGCCTTGAGGTACACCCTCTTCTTGTTCGAAAACAGAGCCAATCCTCACCTGAAAAGTCCTAGCGCTCAAAAAATTTTGTATGAAAATCGGTAAATTGCCACGCAAGCCACAAGAGTGAAGTTCTTGTGAAATGCCATACCTCCAGGTCTTGTCATAAGCTTTCTCCATGTCAAAGAACAACAGACACAAGGTGATTTCTCCTGACAAAAGCTTTACGAATGGAGGTCTCCAACATGAGAATATTGTCAGTCGTAGATCTACCTTTACGGAAACCACGCTGGTATGGTGAGATTACATTGTTTTCCTCAAGGTAGTAGACTAAGCGACAATTTACCATTTTTTCAAACAGCTTACAGATGCAACTAGTTAATGTGATAGGCCAATAATTAGAGGGATTCTTCAGGTCTTTGCCTGGTTTAGCTATGGGAATGACAACAGTTTTTTTCCACAAACTGGGAAAACAGTGCTCCTTCCACACTCGATTGTAGAGAGAGAGAAGAGCAACCAATGCAGTAGAGGAAAGATGCTTCAGCATTTCCATAGCTGACACCATCTGGACCCCGACTGGACCTATGAGTCTGAAGCAGGGCTCTCTTTAGCTCAAGCATAGTGAAATCTTTATTATGAGGCTCTGAGTTACTAGAGTTTAAAGATACGGGAGTTCTCTCTGAGTCTCTGAGTACCATGGCTTTGAATATTTTCGTATCATTTCTGATGTCATTGGTATAGAGGTTTTAGCTGCCTGCATTATTTTATCAGTAACGGCTTTCACTGCATCATCGATTTCCACACCTTACCATCCCTTCTGTGAGCTCTGCGAGAGATGAGAAGAGCTGCCAGTCTGCCTTCTCAAGTATAAATCGAGATCTTGACATGGGGTTTGCACATTCTCGTGCGATAGAAACTAAAAGAGGAAAATGATCACTATTATGGAGATCATTCCCTACGTCAAAAGTGCAAAAGAGATGGTGAACAGATGGGAAGGTCAAGAGCGTGAAAAGTCTTTGTAGGCTCATGGAAGTAGGTAACTTTTCCATTGTTTAGGAGACAAAGAGAATGATCTTCAATCATTATCTCGATTTGTCTACCTCGAGGATTAGTATCCTTGTTCCCCCAAAGCAAACTATGGCCGTTAAAGTCGCCTATTATGACAAAAGGTTCAGGCAGTTGCTCTTTGCTCTATTAGACTATCCAAATCCCTTTGATCAATGTGGACATTTGGAGGCAAATAAACAGAACAAACTGAAACCAGGGTCCTTAAACTTATTTGGATGGCAACAGCTTGAAGGCTTGTAATTAAAGGAAGTGAATTGCTTGGGTAGTCCTAGTGAAGGCAAAGGAGACTTACACCTCCACTGGCAAGTTCACCTACAATATTGTCTTTTCCTAAAAATTGAGAACCCTCGAAAGTTTAGTTTGCTTTCCTGGTTTCAGTAGAGTTTCCTGCAATGCCAAACGTACAGGATGATGCAAATTGATCAAGTCTTTGATGTTATCAAGATGTTGATGGAAACCGCGACAATTCCATGAAACGAGGGTGGCCATTATTATTATTTTTGTCTTTCCTATGCTGCATTTTGGTTTTACGTGGAAGTAGGTTCCTCGGGATGTTTAAGCCCTCTTCTACCTCCATCTCCAAGTTAAGTCTTTTCTGTCCTGAAATCTGCAAAATCCTAAAATCCGCACAACCTCTGTTCCCAAGCTGAGTGGATTTCTGGGCTCTTACTGTACCTAGTATTTTACTGGTGTTTCATATCTTACTGGTATTTGGTCTTAAAAAATATAGCCTCATTTAACACATGAGGAATATTCTTTAATTGTATTGCAATATTTTGCCACTAAATAAAGCACCACAGGAAGTATCAGTTCCACAAAAACGTTCACCATATTAGGGGAGCAATATGAATTTCATGGCCATACAACTAATTAGTTTTAACAAGTTATTTTTATGTAATGAATTAATTTTCTCTGCTCCATATTCTTGTACAAATAAAATTTACCTCTTACTTCAAAACAGTTTTTTAAACCATTTTGATGTGACTTAAAGAGTTATTCCTTTTTGTACAATTCCATATACATTGTACACAGCATATGTCAAAAAAAGTAATACTAAACCTGTGCCTGCAGTTCAGATTTTTCAACTTGCTGCCCTATAGGAAAAGAGTGGTTTTGAAGATGGGTTGACTACATTAGTTGTGCTTGTTAGCTCAGATAAACCCCAGCAGGAACGGCCCTTTAGATACTATTTGTACATTCTAAGACATGACCTTGAGAAAGATTGCTTCTTTCCCCTTGTTACAATGAAGAAATGTTACAATCCTTTCCTATAGTTTCTAAAGGCTTGCTGGTAAGTTCTGAAACATAGCATTCTCAGTTCTTTAGCATAGGTGTAAAATCAGGAGAGTGGGAAGGATATGAAAAAGCAGTTCCTGAGAAAATTATCAAATCACTAATTTGCATGAAACCATATCACGTGTGTGCGTGTGATTATGGCAAAGCCTCGAGGGCTATCTGCCTAAGGGGAGGAATGCTTTTGTAGAGGACTTTCTACGGGAAACTGGCTCATATACACGTTACACATGGAGAAAACCATGAAAAACGCCCATGCAGCCAACCCATTCATGGGATTCAAACCTCGGACCGAACTACCAGTGTTCAGCGACTTTACCACTCGGCCGCTGGTGGGCCAGAAAACATATCATGAGTTCCCTGTCAATGTGGCAAGTAGCTCTAAACTGCTTAAACCAGCATTTCCCAGCCGAGGTCACCGCCCCCCTTCAGGAAAAGTATTCAGGCATCTATAATATGAACTATGGAGTTCATGGTAAAATATTACTAATAAAATAATAATAATAATAAAATAAACTGATGTCATAGAAAAGTCCATAAATTCATAATTAAAAAATACTTTTTTTTTTTTTTTTTTAAATCATTATTTAAGCATCAACTAATCCAGAAACAGTCAGACAGTCAGTAGTATTTGTTTCGTTCTATACTGATTAACTGGCATCGTTTGATAAAATTTATTATTTGTGTTTTTGAACGTTATTGCTCTAGTGAATGATGTTTTCGTAAGTACCTACAAGTAGTAGTGACTCCTAAGGTGAGCAATGGTGCATCTGAACCCCCACTGTTTAATAAAATAAAAAATACTAATTATTTTCAATCCACTAACATTCAACTTTTGATGCTTAAAGTTGAAAATAATTGTACAAATAGAAAATATTAAGATTATTCTCACAGAATTTAGGCCAGATATTAACATGTTAATATTGTTACGAAATGTACAGGCGCGGTAAGATGGCTTCCCCGCAAAGCAGTTTTAGGGTTGCCATAAAATGGCAAAGGAGGGCAGGGTTGCCACATTTGGTGAGAAATCGTCCACTTGGGGACAAAATTGGTTATATACCACGGACGGTTGGAGAACCTTCTAGAACGAATCCTTACCGGTTTAACCTAGAATGTTTCTGAACACAAGCCAAAAGCTATATAAACTCTGCTGGTCCGCAGTCAGTTAGTGTGTGTGCCTCGTCTAGCAAGCTGATAGTCAGTCATTGAGCAAGTGTCTCGAAGTCCAGCGCCGAGGTGGTCGTCGAGTGCATCGTCGAGTTTTGTCTTAGACTGTGCTGAGTCGAGAGCTATACTCTTGTGTATCGTCAAGTGCATCGCGTGGAGAGTCTTGAGAATACGTGGAGTTCCGAGAACAACCAAGCAGTGTTGGGAGCTGTACTCAGGTGCTTTGCAATGAAGCTGTCCACCGTTATTGCCTGACAGTGTGAAGGCTATGTCACTGATTGTTCCAATGTGTTTATAGTAGACCTCCGACGACTGTAAAAAGTGTTATTGGAGCTGTCCTGATTAACATTGGCTAAATAAAGTGTGTTTCGATACTTCATCAAGTGTAGTCGTTATTCACTCCAAATCCACGAACCCCGTACGAACGTGAACGAAGAAATAATGCAACAACTGGTGTCAGAAAAGGAAAAACATAACAATATGAAAATCAGCCACAAGTACCTCATTAGTAGACCCACCTATTTAATAGGATCAACTTTAGTAGGCTTAGTAATAAATCTGTATATACTGTGAAAGAGTATATTTAATTTTTTAACTATTTCTGTAAGTAAAAATATGCTTCAGTTTTATCAATTAAAATTTTCAACACTGTATTGAAATTGTTAATTTATTACCTTTTAGTAACATAGAAATAAATACTTCATTTAGAAATTACTAATTAGAAATTGTTTAATTATTAGATTTTGGTATCCTACCCTCCAAAAAAATTCATTTCAGAATACTATAAATGCTTATATGGGGATTCACAAGCAAAAAAGATTGAGAACCCTTTGCTTAAACGAATGCACACAAAATGTCATGTTTCTCTAGGATCTTAAACTCCTAAAAATGGTTTTTCTTTCTGCTGCTTTTTAATTCACAGTAACAGGATTTCCATCCTTATGCACACTAAAATTGCAACACAGTGGCATTTCTAGGTATACCATGTTATATGCTGATTATGAAAGATATAATGATATCTAGCCTTTAAAGATCATGAAAAGTCATTGCAGATCAATTAATAAATCCATTGCAATGAATATAGATTTTGGTGGTAAAACAAATAAGGAAAGTTAGACATCATACTATACCACTAGCATCAAAATTAAATACCCAAATTCGGCTTTCTTGTCTGCAGTTATCAAATGTTGCCCAGTCTGAAATGTGTGAAAAATCACCATCTTTCAACTTTCATCTCATAGATGTCTGACTAAAATTCATTTTTAACAGTTCATTGTAAATATTTCTTTGGAGATGCACACGTTTTCCTAATTCATATTTGTTATCATAGTAACAGGTTGGCTCATACAGTGTTTACACATATGATTGCTATGCAGTTTTTTAATGACTGTTTATGTAATCACACCATCAAGTGTTTACTGATGGAGTTGCTTAGAAATTCTTATGCAATCTACTGCAAATATTGCCATTTCAGTACATAACTACATATGAATGAACACAATAATAACAATAAACACTTTATGCAGTGAATATTTCATCTTAGCCTAATTTACAGTAGTATAAGCAAATGTAAGTCACATGTACATGCATAATCTTCCATTCTCTTTATTTTTGCACACAATATATATCACACAACAAAACACATCGTAACTCTTTCAAGTCCTTTTGTTTCCACAGTGTGGTTTTTAATTTGCTTCACATGTCTAGCCCAAGGAACTAGACATGTGAATCAAATGATGGCATCAAAGATAATTTCATAATTAATGACTTAAAAATATACTTACTAGACATGCTAAGATCTTTAGTTTGTTGCGTATCATAGTTGCATTTCGGACATGGAATGGGCTGATTTCGTTCATACTTGAATCCTTTCCTTTTTACATGGTCTTCACAGTAACAAGTCTTAATATTAAAAATAAATAAAAAATATATGATAAATATACATTAAAATAGTAACTACAAAAAAATTTAAAAACTAATTATGAAGCAACTGTATACAGTAAAACCTTGATAATACAAATTCTTGGGACTAATAAAATAATTTTTAGAGCAAAGATTATTACTGGCTGTTAAGAACTTTTTGTTAAATTCAAATTTAAATCTAGAGAAAGCAAGAAGTATTTTATTTGCTAACACCTAATTCTGAGTTTTAAAACAGCTGTCAATTCAATTTTGGTTACATGCAAAATCAGAAACTAAAATTTTTATCATTTGTAGCAAAAACTATATTTACAGATGTTTTTGGTATGCTTTATATGTTAGCAAAAGCAATCTCTGTTAATTAAAATTCTGAATAAGCATTGATTACAGTTGCTTTTTATTTAAAATTTTCTTCTTAGAAACACTTTAAATGTTTTTAATCTTAGAAAAAAAAAATGTATGCAAATAGAAAAAGCACTGGAAGTTAAAAAAATATATATATAGCTGAAATCCCCAGATTCGTAATATAAGAAGAAAATAAATCACACGCCCTTCTTTGCCTTTGCTAATTGCAATGTCAAGATAAATTATGAGCTCTGATTTGTAATATTTAATTTAAATTATTAAAATGCATGCTTAATACTAAAGAATTTGATAAGGGACAACAATTCCAAAAAGAGAATAAGATTTCATTCTAAAGAACACATTATCCTGAAGTGCTGCACATTGCAGAATACTCTTAGAGAGAAAAGAATAACAGAATCCATATTTTTGCAATGTTTTGTACCTTGATGAAATATGTAAAGTGAACAGATATTGGAAACTAAACAATTTTGCTATAAAGAAAAATAATACAGTGCATGTTCAAAATGACTTAATGAGGTTACTACTTGAAAAGAAATAAGTGAATGCATAAGCAATTGGAATTCTAGAAAAATTACATGGAAAGCAAGATGATGTTATTCAGTTAAAGGTTTTAAGAAGTTTGCTTTCATTTTGATTTTTTTTTAACAATATACCAATCAAATTATTAAAAGTACATTACACACACACACAAAAAAAAAAAAAAAAAAAAAAAAAAAAATTGGGACAGTGCATATCTCCTGATTGACAAAATTAAATTGTGTTTTTCATGTCTTGAAAGCGCGACTTAGGATATATATTTGATTTACATATAGTACTGTCCTAAAATAGGTATTTTGACACAAAATCGGACTTTTTCTAAAATAACATATCAATTTTTTTCCATATTTTGCTTCTACGACTCAAATTATGCCAGACTGCCAAGTTATGTAAAAATCGTATGAGTAGTTTTTAAAAAATTAGCTCTCAAAATTTTAGCTCTTCAATGTTAATTGAATTTGACATATATTTATTAGTATCTCTCTTTTTTATTAAATTTTTTTATTTTTCCTTTCACATTTCGAAATTTAGGTTCATTCCAAATAAAATTTACCCATTTTTTGTGTTTTAATTTTAAAATTTCTATTTTAAAATAATTTTTATAAATTTTTTTAAAAAATTTCGAATTATAAACTATAAAATTTTTACCATCATGGCTCTTTTTTTGAGCGATAATAACACCAAATGTGGTTTATGAATTTTTGTTACAGTGAATTGCCACAGCTATTTTTAACCTCAAATTTCAAATAAATTTTTACGGAGAATTAATTATATGAAATTTTTTCCTTCAATGATGCGTAATAACACATTTATTAATACTATATGAAAAGCTATTTTTTTAAATTATAGATGATATTATTCAAATTTTAAACATTAAAAAAAATTTTTTTTTCCCTTCTTTTTTTTAAATATTTGTAAAAGTACATTTTTACATTCGCCGTGTTGTCGTCTGCTACTTTCCTTTAACTGAATTTAAACTGAATTGTCTAAAACTGAGAAAGTTTGTTTGATGTTTATTTTTCCAATGTTTTAAAGGAAACAGGACTTCGACAGTTTGGGTCATGTCCCAGCTTTAAAAAAAATGTGCATAAATATAAATTTTTACATTAATTCTCTTAGAAAGAATGTTTTAAGTAGCTAATTTTCTCTTGTGTTATAGGTTGCATAAAGAACATGATCTTTGATATGATTTAGATTGTTTGCAGCAGATATAATAATCAGTGGTACAGAATAAACACTGCTGCACTGTTTTATTTCTTAGTCATTTAGCAAAAAATCTTTCTTTAAAATATTTATCCTTTGAACAGTGTAACAATTGAAAAATCTTAATTTTCTTGTGTGAGCACTGAAAATAAATGTAGAAGGAAAGAAGAAAAGTAAGCAAAAATTTAAAGCAGAATTTGGCTGTCAGAAATACCAAGGTGCTTTGAAAAGTTGGGTGCTTTTGAATATACTTTCGGAATACTTCAAGGAATTTGGTTTCAAAGAGAAAACACTTGGACGTGTACACCAGCAAATACCATCAATTGAGCTTGTGCTAATGGAAAAGACAAAAATGATATCATTGCAGATTAAAGTGAAGAGCGATTGGTTTTTAACTATATGGTTTTATAAATTAAAATTACGTTATAGAACATCATGTCATCATAAATGAAGAATCTCACAATTTCTTAGTCGAATTATTTGAAGATTCAGGAATTTATCCAATGATGTCTGTGGATGTCACCTAAAGACTAACCAGCCTTTCCTTTCATCTCATACCTTCAAAATTCTTAACCTCTAAAGACTGATAAAGGCTCTGACCAAATACTGATGAAATGGATTGAATTGGATTATTAAGTTGTTTCGAAAAGTTGAATGCTTTTTAATATACTTGCAGAATGCCTTAAGAAAAAGAGCAAGTCACTGAGAAGAAATAAAATTTAGTATTTTTTTAATTTAAAACTTTTTATATTTATTTAATATTTGATTCATGAGTGAGTGAGTGAGTGATTATGGCGCAAAAACCAGAGATGATTATGACGCGCCAAACACAAAAGATGAGATGATTACAATTGATGACATTAAAATTCAATAAAAATAAAAACAAGTAGATAAATGTACCAAATCCAGAGGATGAAGTCATATAAAAACAAGTTAAAAGCACATATTAACATTCAAGACACAGTCTTCAAAACAAATTACATTTGGTAATAAAAGCCAATCTCTTTTAAATAATAAAATAAATTAGAATTGACCTCTCTTCCGATTAAACGGTCGAGAGGTAAGTCACAGCTATTAAAATATTTCTGGCGAAGACTATTAAAACATGGACACTCAATTAAAATATATGACGAACAGATAAACAAACATTACAATTAAAAAACAAACAGGCTCATTTTCAGCTTTAAGAAGATAGCTATGTGTGACTCTGGTATGACCAATTCTGAGTCGAGTCAAAAAGAACGTCCTCTTTACGATTTCCAGCAAAATCCCAATGCTCAATTCTAGGTTTGATGTTTCTCAACTTGTTGTGATGCTGAACATCCCAAAATTTGCTGCCATTTTTTTCGTATCTTTCCCTTGATGACACAGCAGATGTCTCTAAAAAGGGATAAGGCGACTGGACAGTTCGAACAGCAGATTTTGCCGCGATGTCTGCAAGCTCGTTTCCCTTTATTCCCGTATGCCCGGGAACCCAGCAGTACAGGATTTCATATCCTCGTATCATTAAATTTCTATGAATTTTGAGAACATCCACTACCACAGGATTCTGAGCGTTGGGAAAAGCTTCCAAGGATTTAAGAGCACTATACGAGTCTGTGTAAACTATGAACTTTTTGTGGCAGAGCTTTGAGATGTACAAAAGAGCATAATATATTGCAGTTAGTTCAGATGTTAGGACAGAGAAAGCATGGTGCAGGCATCTGCCCTCTATGTAATTTTCAAATACAAAAGCCATCCCGACATGATCATTTGACTTTGATCCATCTGTGTATATCGGATAATAACTGCTATATTTGTGCCTGTGCTCAGCGAAAAGTTTGTCTGTAAACGATCTCGTTAGTGCTCGCCTTTACGTGATGTTTAAAAACATCAAGAAGCTGGATCCGTGAATTTTCCCAAGGTGGAATTTCAAAATTCTGTACTGCTTGGGGGTGCATATCAGAGAGGGAGAGTTCCTCAATGACAGGGCGAACTCTTAAAGGGAAAGTAGGAACACAGGATGGACGTGTTTCAAATAATGTGTTACACTCATTATCAAGTAAGCACACAGCTTATTGGGATGTTCAGGTTGAGATAGAGTATTAAAATATTGCAAAAGGGACAATTGCTCACGCCTCAGATAAAGTGATGGTTCGTTACAGTCAACATATAGGCTCTGCACAGGAGAAGTCCTGAAAGCTCCTGAACAAATCCGCAGACCTTGATGGTGAACAGGATCCAGTTTTAACAAAACAGATGACCGAGCGGATCCATAAACAACTGAGCCATAGTCCAGTTTAGAGCGGATAAGCGCTCTGTAAATGCGAAGCATGGAGCAACGCTCTGCACCCCAGGAGGTGTTCGCCAACACTTTTAAAATATTTAGTGTTTTTAGACACTTCTTTCTCAGGTTTAAAACATGAGAAAGGAAAGTCAATTTTCGGTCGAACGTCACTCCTAAAAATTTTACTTCAGGCGCAACTGGAATAATTGTACCATTCAAGTATAACTCAGGTTCAGGATGGAGACCTCGCTTCCTACAAAAGTGCACGCAGACAGTTTTCTGTTTCGAAAATGTAAATCCCTGTTTGTCTGACCATTCTTGGATCTTAATCAGAGCCATCTGCAGTTGCCTCTCTACATATCTCATGTCTGCTCCTCGACAGCTAATCTGCAGATCATCAACATATAGAGATCCCAAGATGGTGGGAGGAAGTTCTTTTAGTACAGAATTTATTTTTAAACTAAACAGGGTTACACTGAGCACACAGCCTTGAGGCACACCCTCTTCCTGTTCAAAAACATCCGAAAAAAACAGAGCCAATTCTTACTTGAAAAGTTCTAGTGTTCAAGAAATTTTGAATGAAAATTGGTAGGTTGCCGCGCAAGCCACTCTCGTGAAGATCCCGGAGTATACCGTATCTCCATGCCTTATCATAAGCTTTTTCAATGTCGAAGAATATCGAGACAAGGTGGCTTCTTCTTACAAATGCTTTTCGAATAGATGTCTCTAAGAGGAGCATGTTATCTACAGTTGTTCTCCCTTTTCGAAAACCACTTTGATAAGGCGATATAATATCATTCTTTTCCAAGAAGTAGACTAGGCGGCTGTTTACCATCTTTTCAAACAGTTTGCAGAGGCAACTCGTAAGGGCAATTGGCCGATAGTTGGAGGGATTCCTTGGATCTTTCCCTGGCTTAGGAATAGGAATGACAACAGCTCTCCTCCATGCACTGGGAAAATGTACGCTCCTTCCACACTCTATTGTAAAGTGTGAGAAGGGCATTCAGTGACTTACAGGACAGATGCTTTAGCATTTCATAATTCACTCCATCAAGACCCGGAGAAGACCTATGTGTCTGCAATAAAGCACTCCTTAATTCAAGCATAGTAAAGTCTCTATTGTAAGGCTCAGATTTGGAAGAGTTGAATGCGATGGGATTTATTTCAGAGTGCTGCTTCATAGAAAGAAATGCAGGTGTATAGTTTCTGCTGGAAGAAACGGAAGCAAATGTCTCACCAATAGTATTCGCAATTTCTTCTATGGAGCTAATCACTCGGCCATCTTTTTCCAAAAAGGAAAGTGAGTGGTCTTTATATATGCCGCATGCTTTTTGAACTCTTTCCCAAACCCGCTTGCTAGGCGTGGAGGATGTTATTGACGACACATATGAAATCCAGGAATCCCTCTGGCTCTGCCTTCTTACTTTTCGTGCATTTGCTTTGGCTCTTTTAAAGGCTATGAGGTTTCGCAGAGTAGGATATCTACGAAAAATACCCCATGCTTTTTTCTGTTTTTTCAGTGCTTCATGACAGTCGCGATTCCACCATGGTTTTGAATATTTTAGTAGTTTTCCTGATGTTCTAGGAATCGAAAGCATAGCTGCCTGAATAATAGTATTAGTAACAGCTTCAACAGCGTCATCGATATGCGCATCTTCTACCATTTCATCTGTGAGCTCTGCAATGGAAGAGAAGAGTTCCCAGTCTGCCCTGTCCAGTATGAATCGAGGGGATCTCGACATGGGGTTTGCTCCTCTTCGTGCAAGAGACACAAGAATGGGATAATGATCACTGTTGTAAAGATCTTTACCCACATTAAAAGTGCAAAAAGGCAACAGAGATGGTGAACAGATGGCAAGGTCGAGAGCATGGAATGTTTTGAAGGCTCATGGAAGTAAGTATCTTGCCCATTATTGAGGAGACAAAGGCTATGATCTTCGATCATCTGCTCAATTTGTCTTCCTCGGCAATTAGTATCCTTACTACCCCAGAGCGGACTATGGCCGTTAAAATCTCCTATTATGATGAAAGGCTCAGGCAGCTGCTCTAAAAGACCATTTAAATCTTGCTGATCAATATGCTCATTTGGAGGCAAATACAGAGAAACGACTGTAACAACAAAATCAAAATTTGTTTGAGTAGCGACAACTTGGAGGGATGTCGTCAAAGAAAGCACATTTGAGGGATAATCCAGTGAGGTGAGGAGACCTACACCTCCACTGGCACGCTCACCTGCAAGGTTATCTTTCCTGACGAAGGAAAACCTCCGAAGTTTTGCCTGTTGTTCTGGTTTTAGATTTGTTTCCTGTACTGCGAAGCATACAGGATGATAAGCATTAATTATGGCTTTGATGTCGAGCAAATTTCGGTGGAAACCGCGACAGTTCCATGAGACGAGGGTGGCCATTATGTCTGGTTTTTGTTCTTTCTGTGCTCTTGTTTGGTTTTTCGTGGAAGTAGATGCCTGGGAAATTCTAGACCCTCCTCTACTTCCATAGTGTCTGAATCCGCAGATTCAGAAATCATTTCGTCAAAAGAGCTATTGCTGGGACTTCTATTTTTATTAATTATTTTGTGACTTTCAATTTTAGGTTTACTTTGAATGACTGTTTCTTTTTTTTGTATATAAATGAGTTGCATTTTCCGTTTTCTTGGTGGATGTGGTTGGTTGGGTTTTATTTGGTTTAGTCTGCGTGCCTATTGATGTTTGGGTGGCAATGCTACGTGTTGTTTTAACTGCACTGGCATAAGATTTGTTTGATTGGAGCTGTGTGCTTTGAACTAGTTTTCTGGCTTCAGCATACGAGATGTTCCTGGTAACTTTAAGAGTCTGTACTTCTTTTTCGGATTTCCATTTTGGGCAGAGGCGTGAAAATGCTGGGTGCTGACCCTTGCAATTTATACACGAAGGCGCAGCGGTACAATTTTCCGAATCGTGGCCAATCTGTGAGCATCGGGCGCATGTGAGGCTGCCACGACAAGACGTCTTAGAATGGCCGAAACGCTGGCATTGGAAGCATCGCATAGGGTTGGGAATATAAGGTCTTACAGGACAATTTAAATATCCGGCCTTAATATTCTTAGGCAGATCAGGCGTGTTGAAGGTAAGGATCACGTGTTTCGTATCGATCAACTTACCTTCCTTACGCATCTTGATCCGCCTAGCACCGCAGACATTTTGGTCGGATAGCTCGGAAGCGATCTCTTCTTCAGGAACGTACAGAAGGTCGAATTCCGATATTACGCCACGACAATAATTCAGTGTCTTATGTGCTGTTACAGTGACATTCGCTTGCCCAAGTTTAGTAATCTGAAGTAAAGAAGCAGACTGGGTGGCTGAGTTTGTATCAATAAGCAAGTCTCCGGAGCGGAGACGCTTTATGTTTCTCGGCTCACCAATACAAGACTGGATGTATTTATTTATTACGAAAGGAGACATCTTATGCATTTCGCCAGAAGGACTAGAGATGACTAGGAAACGGGGACTATTGTGATGATTTTTTTTATTTGCATCTGTCCGTAATTTTTTTGCAGAATTTTCAGAACTAGGTTGAGTGACTGGTTTAGTAGTAGACTTTTCAGAACTAGGTTGAATGATTGGTTTATTAGTAGGGTGGTTCAGAGCTAGGTTGAGTGACTGGTTTAGTAGTAGACGTTTCAGAACTAGGTTTGAGAGACTGGAGTGACTTCGAAGTCTTTGATCAAAAAAATTTGGGAATTAGCCATATTGAAATAAGAAAGATTCGGGTCCGACGGCCCCGCCCACCACGGAGCCCAACAAGGGAACACAGATTCCTGTGTTAGGGCTAGCCGGACCTATACGCAAACTGAAGCCCCACAGTCGGCTTTCCCGAAAGCAGGTACTCCCGAGAGCTTGACCCCAAGCCACTGACACAAGGACTAGTGACCAGCCGATTGACACCCGTGAGGACGACTAAGGTGCCTCCCGTTTAGCTGAAGCAGAGGCCAAAGCAGTGTGTTGGGGACAGTACCTCGCCCCTCAACTACCAGGACCCTCCTTTCCAGCGACACGGGTCTCCACGCACGGCAAACACGTGGGCAGTTTTCTCGCCATTTGAAAACTAGAGGCAAGGGTTGTTCCAGTTTCTCGTGACGAGCCCCAAACTCCGTAGAGAGAAACCACAAGGGAGAAGGGAAGGGAAAAAGTTCCAGCAAAGAGGAGAGGAGACGGAAAAGAGGATAGATCACTGGGGCTCCAGGATCGTGACACCCGTCTCACCAAGAAGATGATCCCCTGAAGGGCTAGGGTACCTCGGGATTGCCACACCCGTACTCAGTGAGCCCCTGAGGCATTTGATTTAATTCAAAATAACATGACTTAATATGAATAACATTTAAAATAATTGAGATAAATTCGTAAAATGGCACAGTAATAAAGCTTTTAAAGCAATAATGCAAGCTCCTAAGTTAAATGGGTTATACATCTTTCTCATTTATATAGCTTTTCTGAATGGAACATTGAAAGGCATGTTAATTGTGCTTTACTGTACTTTCTCTTTTAATATATGCAGTTTTCAAATGCATCGTAGTCTGGGTCACAAAGTATTCTTCCAAAAGAAACGCAATTGAAATAAATAAAATCAAATTCTGGAAAATTTATATTAATAAATATATTTAAAATGCTCAGTTCGGATGCATAAATAGAACTTTTAAAACAATTATCTGAAGAGACAATGCAACACAAACAATTAAAATAAAAGTCTAAAAATTAAAAAAATTACCTAAAATAATAACTATGACAAAACTAAATTATAAAGAAAACTATTTGAAAAAAATAATCGATGCACCATTTATTTAAACTACGCAGTTTGAATCGGTAAATAGAAATTTTTAAAATAATTATTCGAAAGAAACCATGGAACTTAAACAATTAAAATGAAATTCGAAGAGAAAAGTACTTAAATGATTGCGACTTTTTTCCATTCACACACAATGTAAAAAGGGAAAGGAAAATAGGTTGCCATATATTAAGAAGTTTGCCAAGTGAACTATTATTGGTGCAAACTGAAAAAAAAAAAAAAAGCGTCAACATAAATTTCTGAATTTCTCCATAAATTTTGCATTAAATTTTACAAAATTTCATATTTAGGCATAATTTGAGTCATAGAATCGAAATATGGGAAAAAATTGATATGTTACTTCAGAAAAAGTGTGATTTTGTGCCAAAATACCTATGTTAGACTAGAGCTATATACAAATCTATTATATATCCTAAGTTGCGCTTTCGAGACATGAAAAACGCAATTTGAATTTCGTCAATCGGCCTAGTAGAACAGGGGATATAGAACTGCCCCCCTTTTTCTGCGCAGTGTACATAATAAGTCATTAAATAGTACAGTAAAGCAAAAGCTTCATTTCTTATACACCAGTATATATGCTGATTTTTACATTTACAGAAAATAACACAAAGTTCAAAATTTTAACACAAATTCTATATTTACCTTACATCTCAAACATGAATATTGGCCTAACCTATTACAAGATTGGCCTGAAAGAAAACAAAAAGGGCATTAAAGATAAAAATTCACACACTTATTATTTAGCAAAAAAATCAGTGAATACTTAACATGTATACAAACAAAAGGAAGTTACACCAATAAAGCAATTAATAAACCTTCATTTGAATAAAACCTAATTGATAAAATCAAATTAGACCCAATTCACACATAAAAAGCAATAGAATCAAACCGATAAACCTTCACTTATGAAAAAATGTTGCAGATATGTAAAATATATAAAATTTAAAAGAAAACGAAAATGTATATTGGTCGGTATTTGAAAAGGTAATAAAACTGCAAATCTAATTATTTTTTACCATAAAATTTTAAACAAAGAAATCATAAATATACTATTAAAAATCACATTTACAACATATAACTTTCATATAAAAATAGTTAAATAATGGGGTTAATTGCAGTGCTTCCAATTTCAAATACAAATATGTATCAAAAAGATCTTTAAAATAATTATTGTAAATTCCCTAAATAATGTATTAGAATTTTAAATAAAATTACAATACTTTTTCATCAATTTCAGTTAAAATAATAATAAATATACCAAACTGTAATTAGTTGCAACACAATTGAAATATCCATGAAAGTAACAAAACTTCATTATTTCTTAGAATGCTTAAAAATAAAATTCATTCAAGTCTTATTCATTTTATGTAAATAAATAAACTTTTGAAACAACAAAAGATTTAGAGTAGGATTAACTCTTCAAAGCAGATTATGCTAAAAATATAGATGACTATGTTGAAAAACAATCAAGGGTGAAACTCCTCCCACCCCAATATAAAATTAACAAAAGGTTATCAATTTGTAAAAAAAATTAACCCCAAATTAATGTACCTTTTTATACGCATGTGTACATGCTTACATATACAGCAAAACCTTGGTCAGGCTATGTGAAAGATAAATATGCCATTCCCCATCTGAAATGTTCATAAATTAAAAGTATTTTCTCCATGGGAAATAATATAAAATGTATTAATCTATTCCTAGATTGCATGTGATTTCTCATTTAATCCTCTGAATGGCACATATTTTTTGGATCTGTTCATGGAGATCTGTATTTAAAAACATTTATTATGTAAATTTGTATAATTCTGTTTTCATAAACTTCCCTTCATCAAGATTATAATTACATCATTAAAGAAAGTAAGAAAGCAAAATGTTTTTAACTATAAGGTAATATACAGGGTGATTATAATTAAAGTTTCAAAAACGCTGTAAAAAAAGGAACCACTGATCAGAATGACATCAAATTTGAATGGATTATTATCGAAGAAGGAGGAGGAAAGCGTATGGAGGAAGAATAATGAATAGTTCAAAATTTTAGCTCAAGATGGTGCTCTAAGCATCACAACTTTAAAGGCTTCGACTGCAAATGACAAATGAATCTTAAAACAACAGCTAAGGTGCAAGTTGCACATTAAACTAGCTGCACTGTTTAGTGAGCATGACTGTACAGGTGCGATGCTGTTAATTATGTAAGCCCTTGCACCACGCCAAGGTCGTATCACATGGGATGAAGAAAATCTGTTTTTAGTTGTCCTGAGGCCAAAAACTGCATAAAAAGCATCAATCAAATTAGTTTTAAATTTTCATGAGGCGGGTGCAAAACATGTTCTATATGTCATCCATTGTTTTCTGTAACAAATTGAAGTTGACAAACACATGCTCCACAACTGATCGAAGTGTCTCCGGGGTGACATTCAGAATGTGTTGCGCAGTCAATTCAGCTAAGTTTGCAATCAGAGCACTGAACACATCTTTCAGATAGTCTCATAGCCAGAAGCCATATGGATTAAGATCAGGTGATCATGATGGCTAGGCTGTAGGAAAATGATGGCTGATAATTCTAGCATTTCCAAAATGCCACTTCAGCAGCTGCTTCACTGGATTTGTAATCAATGTGTGGAGGAGTACCATTTTGCATAAGAATGATTCCATCGATACATCTCTAGTGTTCAAGAGCTGGAATGATGTATTTACGCATAAGACCCTCAATACTGCTTAACAGAGGAGTCTGTATACTATACCTGTTACAGTTAACAGGATCAAAAGCACCTGTCTCCTCGAAAAAATACAGTCATGTGGATAAAGAATGCCATAAAACCCTGCACCACACACTGACCTTTGCAGAATGAAATGTTACTAGTTGAATTGCGAGTGGATTTTGTGCTGCCCATATTCAAGAATTCTGTGTATTGGCAAAGCTTTGGAAATAGAAATGGCCTTCATATGTTCACAAAATCTTCCATGGCCATTCATTGTGCACTTCCATGCGAGCAAAAATTGTAAAGCAAAAGACTCTCTTGCTGGTAATTCAGCAGGAAGAAACTCCTGCACATGGGTAATTTTTGTATGGATAGCATTACACGCTGCGCTCACAGGCATGTCCAATGTTTGGGCAATTCCCTGTGCATTGCACGGTTGCACACCATGGCTCGACTCCTCCTGCACTGCTGTGGCCACTTCTTCAACTAATGTTGAATCAATTCTTTTCCTCCCTCTACTAGATTGCATATCAAAAGAAACTGTCTTTTTGAATTTCCGAATTTTTTTCTGCAGACCCACGGTCATCATCAGACCAACGTCTTTTTTTCATACCCTTTAGTGTCTGAAACTTCTGCAGAGCTACTGATGCACAGTTATCATTCTTATAAAAAAGTTCTACAAGCAAAGCATAATCCTTCATCAAGACAGTCATGGTGAACTCAGAAAAGCTGTGTACCCAACATTTTTATAACGACTGCAACGAGTCGTGTGCATGACAGGTATTTTCATTTACATATTTTGATGCTTTCAGCACCATCTATTGCTAAAATTCTTAACTATTTAGTTTTCTTCTGCCACACATTTCCCCTCTTCATGAATAATAGTCAAATTTGACATCATTCTGATCAGTGGTTCTTTTATTACAGTATTTTGAAACTTTAATTATAATCACCTTGTATTTCAAGTGATAAAAAATCTTATGACCAGATAAAGCCCATCATGCATGCCACTCAGGAGATTACAGCCGCACATAACACAAAAACCAAAGGAGATAATAATTATATCTAACATAAAAGAAATATGATCCTGAGCAGATAAAATATAACGCATATTTAATTTAATTTTACTGTACTGTATGGAAGTGAGTAGATGGCATAAGTAGAATGTGATGAGGAGTTCCTTTGAAATAAACATCCGGTTAAAGTTTTGTTGGTACTTCTTTAAACTTTTCTTGTCTATTAGCACCACTTGATTCTGCTTGACACTCAGTGGGCCTCCTTTTTACTCAAAATCTTTCAATTTGATTTGTTGTTGTCAAAGTTTAAAAATATTTCTAAAGTGAGATAGGGTTGCCACTCAAACAGGAGAATGAAATTCCCTGACTTTTCCAGGTATGTTTTCAGAAAATTCCAGTCTATCCGCATAATGTTGGCTGTGCTAAGAGGTAAATTAATTATGGTATTACTTGTACTGTGTAGCAAATTCACTTAATTATTCAATAAATCCCAGAGGACATTTATTCTTAATTATTCTTGGTATACTTTGTTTGATAATTTTGTTTACTTTTCCACTTAAGAAACTTAATAAAATTTAAGATATATACATTGGATAACAAGTGTACGTTTTATTTAATTATTACTCATGATCATCCCCAGTTCAACACGAGGCTAATCCGGTTCTTATAAATCACAACGCAATGCTAAAAGTTAGGTTAGATTTTAGGTAAATTTAATTTGTGTGAGGTGTAATCTTAAAAGGCACCTCAACACTTGAAAACACAAATATAATTATAATAGGAGTTGTTTTCTCCACTGAAGATTGAGATTAGAATCTGCCCAATCTGGAATAAAAATAAGGCTTTTTTTGCAGACATTCTGCAGCTAAACGAAAGAAAGAAATCTATTTAATGATATTTTTTTACTAAATTGAGGTATTTTATATTTTTTTCGCAGCATACAAAAGGAAAAAATATGTGCATTAAATTTCGTGATGTCATCATACTACTAGAATTAATTTCAGGATTATGCCAGAGAAAATTTCCTGAAATTTGGAAATATTATTTACTAATGATAAATAAATTTAGAGGGAAGAAGCAACATTAAATGATATGAATAACATAAAAATAAAGATAATTACTTAAAAATTTAATTAGAATAATCAACGATATTTTAGCGAATATAGTTATATTACATGGTTATCCTAGATGATTGATTACTATTTCTTTATTTTACTGCCAAACTGACAAGGTATTTATTAAAAAGAAAAGAAAAGAAAATTTTTTTGCGGTAAAATCCTAGTATACGATACGGCCTTCGCATAATTTTGAAAATTGTCGTCAAGAACAAAATGACCCGTTTACTGCTCATCATCATGTCGCCAAATCCCGCTGTAGCATACATGGAGATTATTCTGATCAAAGAACGTCACGTAAAAAGCGGAGGGAAAATTTGCCAAGGGATTTGACGACGGAACGGCCAGAATTTCCCTCTCCGCAATGTGTACAGGAAATTAAAAAACACGTGTTAAGAAGAAACGTTCTTTGACAAAAAAGAAAACTACGAAAATCCGTTTTTAAATTATTGCGAAAAATCCAAGAAGAAACGTTTTATCAAAGAACGTTTTTTCTTGGATTTTTCGGAATAATTTTAAACTTTAGATTTAAAATTATTTTCGTAGATTTCCCCCCTCAAAATAACTAATCCATGAATTAATTTACTTGCGCCAAAAAATATTTTCTTTTCCCTTAGAGTTTAAAGACATTTTATATGATATTCATTTTATGAACTCTTGATAACATGACCTTCGAAATTCGACACCAGTTTCGAGCTTTGGCGACAGATATATCGCGCATGCACAGCTGTTTCCCGCTATGATGGAACCGAGCCACGTCTGTTGCAGAGAGGTTTTCCTTCTTTACGATACATATTTTTTTAATTCTAACCTTCATGGTACCGTATACCAGATTAAACCCATTTTGTTTTATACA